GGCAAAGCTGGTGAGTTGCTTCTCTGGGCTGATCATGTTTGCCAAGTACTTCTACTGCGATCCGCTTTCCATGGGGTACATGACGCATGCCAGCGAAATACTCCCCTACTTCGTCTTGGAGGTTGCCTCCAAATGTCCTGGTCTGAGCGGTCTGTTTATAGCGGGTCTGTTCAGTACGGCTTTAAAGTATGCGAATCTGTACGGGCTTAGAATATCGTCTGTAGTTCAATTTCAGCACCATGTCCGTAGCTTTAAGTAAAATTGCCACAGACACCTTCGATGACATTATTGCCCCATGTAGAACGCGTGAATTCTCCAAAAAGGATGCCAACTATATTATTATCAGTATTATAATTGCAACATCAATGATTAGCGTGGCCGCAGTGCAGATAATTGGCAGGCTTGGTTCTCTGCTTGAGCTCTTCCAATGCGCGTACGGTATAACTGGAGGACCGGTACTTGGCCTATTTACACTCGGGGTTTTATTCCCAGTGGCCAATAAAAAGGTGAGGTCACGCAATGGTTACTGTAAAACTGACCTAAATTTTTCAGGGGGCCCTCACTGGTGCTTTAGTTTCGGTACTGGTGATGTCGTCAATCATTGTTCAGCATCAGGTTGACATTTGGAATAAATCCCTTGTGTACAACACCAAAGAAATGAGGACGTACGGCTGCGATATCTACTCCTTTCTTAGCATCAACACAAACAGGTATGCATTTCCACGTATCCCTAAGTTTATTACACAATTCCTGTTTCCAGTTCCGCTAACGAGTTGCGATCAGTGGAGCACGAAGAAGCATTTTCCCTGGCAAAAATCTCGTTCCACTATTATTACTTCATTGGAACGCTAATTACAGTCATTATCGGATTAGTAGTCAGTTGGATTACGCGGAAAGAAAAAGATAGTATTAAAAATCCCTACATTTTTAGCCCAATTATTCATAAGTTCCTACGTCCAGTTTACGTTCCTATCTAAATTTCCCCTAGATTACTAATTTATTTGCACAATTCATCAATCCCACAAAAATATGTTTAGCATAAATATCATTTCAACATTACCCAGTAGATATAGGTACTGAGGATTCCCCGAATTATCATGGTTTTAATATTGTAAACATAGACGTCATCAACCGCATTTAATTTATTTAATAATACACTTTACAAACATTACTTGGACGATATTTTTATCTTTATCCTTTCTTGTTAAGCTAAGAGAATAACGTCTTTTCCAGAAATGTTGGGGTATTTTTTCATATATAGAGATAGAGAGAAAATCCAAAGAAATCTGTGGACGATCCGAGATAAAACCATATAATGCGAAAAGGTGATATAATTTCAGGGAAATGTCAGGACACTTTGAAGGGGGAGAACGTCAGTAAGTAGAATCTAATAATAGAATATTAGGGAATATTGGCATGCGGTCATGCGCCACCCACAAAAGACCTGTCCCACAGCTAGCTCAAAACAACCTTTAAATTAAGAATTGTAATTATTTTCCTCGTATACGTCCGGCTTTTGAAAAATCTCAATGTTAACTTTAATAATTTGGGAGAATTAATTAGACTATGCCTCGATCAATTTCCGAAAATTCCAAAGAATGGACTACACAAATTTTCATTAACAAAAAACAAATTTCCAAAGGAATCGGATATCGTATTAATTGATCTGGATAATTGGATTGCACCATGATGAAGCAAGCTAATTTTAGCCAGGAGAGCGCTTACGAACCATCCAATGCGGATTTAATGAAAAAGTTGCTCCAGATTGAAGCATCCCACAAAATTACCGAACAACAAATAAATGCATCTCTCAATCTTGTCATGCTAAGTTGGACGAAAATTCACTGGAGTTAGTCAAAATCAACGGCCGTATTGACCAAAATGTCGAGAGAATTGAAGACATAAAAACCAACAATCTAAGATTGGAACGGGAGGTTGAAGCATTGAAAATTCAGTTAGACGCCACGGTCCAATATAATCGTCGAAACACTTTGGAAATACAGGGGATTCCTACCTTAAAGCATGAAAACTGTAAAGACATTGTTCTCCAAGTCGGTCAAGCGCTTGGAATCACCATTTCAGGTAACAGCATCGATGCTTGTCACCGTTTAGGGTCGCAAAAATTAAATCAGCCGCCACCAGGAATTATATGTAAATTAATCCAACGCGATATAAATGAGGAATTAATACGACGCAGGAAAATAAAGCGAAATTTGTCATATACCTACAGTGTGTCCCAGATCGCGTGGGATTACATGGGTAACTTTGTTATTATTAAAGATAGAGAATTGGTTAAATGGGCAATGTTTTGCAGTTTTGGATGCTTATTTAAAATTCCCTTATGGAAATTCAAAATGTCGCATAGGTTCGACGTAAATTCAAAAAAACTAAAATTGGTCATTTCCTTGAATGTCTTATATCATCGAAAGTATAAGAGATATAAAAAAAAGTTTTATATAAAAGTGACTGTCTTTGATACGCTTAATTTAGAATTGAAGTCAAAAAAAAATTAAGATGGCCACTTTTGAGGAACATTTACCAACTTCCTAAAGTTAAATGGGCGCCATATTGGATTTTTAGATTACTTGATAGATTTTTTAATTCTCTTTTCAACGAGCTATTATAACATAAGATTGAAAATAAGATACCAATTATATTAACGGTTTTTGTATTTTAATCAAGTAGTCTGTGACGAATAAAAAAAAACAAAACAAAATCTATTCGAGGCAACAAAACAATGAAAATAATTACACCAAATGTTTAAAATACTGGCCATTATTAGTGAAACACACTTCAAGACAGTTTAGTTTAGTGATTATCATTATTATTGTAGTGGTAGCTACTTCCACTTTACTTTTATTTTTTAATTAAGTACTTACTTTTATAATTTAATGTACTGTACATAATTCGTGAATTGTGACCTGAGCAGCCAGCTTGTTGGTAGGTAGCATATACCAACCCTTTCTTCGAAACATACGTTGTCGGGAAAAATCCTTTAAGGAAGTTTATTGGAGAATTTGTAAATCATGGTGAGCAGTTAAAGATCCAACGAAGATTACCGGTCCAATTACATGACTTCCCATTATGCCATAAAATCCTAGAACAAGAGCAAATTTAATTTTTTTCAAAATCCCGCATGTACGTTCAATTGCCCATATTAATTCCCCTGTTCTACGCATGATGATTACTTACAATGGATTTCAAAGATCTCGAAATGAAAATCTGCAGCTGTTTGGCCTGTCCTTATCGACATTTAAATTAAGTTTGTGTTAAGTAATTAGTTAAGTTGATGATAGATACTCATAATTTTTTTTTTGTTAACATTTGCATATGTCCTCAAACCTTAATATGGAATTAGTACTGTTGGTTTGAGAAGATTAATAAAAAATAAATAAATAAAAATCTAATATTGAAAAAACTAGCCGGGTCGCACAATGGGTTCGAATAAACACAATTCATGCCTTCTTTCCATGCTGTCCGTACTGAGTGTGTTAGGAACGCTTGGGCAACGGTGCCAACTTCGATGTTTTCTAGTGGTACAGTACCTTTTTCGTTGCGATACCGAAAGTGGTCCTACCAGGTTGATGTAAACATCAGTTCGGACCTCGGGTTGTCGGTGGGAATTCGCCTCTGGAGCGGGGTGGTTGTATCATGTTACTTTTGTTGGTTGGCACTGCAGTTCCCCACATAGCAGAACTATATACAATGAATATAACATACACATCCTCTATGGGTATATCCATAGAATGTAGAAAAGTATGTTGAAAATGTGCAAGGGATATACGTTTGGCAGACTTCACATAATACATATACTATGTCTTATGTATGTTCATGTATATGCATTAGTCATGCTTCATATACCATGAATATTCCTATAACATGCAAAGATGTTCAGTAGGATATTCCATGTATGTTGTATATGTTTGGCGCAAAACCCGAAAACGGCCAATGGTCGTTTTATTTGCTCAATCTTAAGATTGGGCTATTTAAAATGACCAAAGCTCGAATTCTATTTCAATTTCGGGCGTTGATTGAATTGATCAAAAGTGAAAAATGAATCAAAAAGGCCGAAAGAGTTCCTACAAATTTAGACAGAATGGGTTTAAATCCGTGTTCCCTTAACTCGTTGGACAAAAGGACCGAGTCGAAGAAAATTCCGAATCATTGTTCAGAGAGGGTAAAAAATCTGGAGCAATATCAACAACATACAAAAATTAACAATCCGAGATTTTAATAATTTAAATCTGATCTTAATTTAATACAAAATGCTCAAAAGTAGCCATTTCAAAAAACAACTCACCTCATTTCTCATTGGTGAAAAATAACATTTCGAAGTCTCTTACATAAAGTGCATGGAATACTTTGTTAATTAGCGGGATCTTCTGCAGTCCAGAAGGTATCTGAGGGTCCTGGATACGGTAACTTTAGACTGAAGTTGTATTTCGAGATGAATGTCGTAGAACGTGAATGGTTTATATATATTAATAAAACGTATTTTAAACGTAGGTATAAAATCGGTCTACACAAAAACGTATACCATACTATCAATACCGAATTATCCTTTCAAAGCGCTTTAAAAGCCGATTTCAAACGCAAAGTGTGTTTGCTGGGTTCCCTCCCTCGCCTTTCCGAAATACTACCGTCTGTCTACTCTTCTTGATATTGGTTTGATACGTGGAGGAAAGCCAATCCGAGCGGCTAACGAGGCCCCATAGCATTCCCAGCTCCTGACCCTACCCTTAGTAAACCTAAACAGCTGTTATCGCAGGGAACGTTTGTAACGAGTGGTTGAACTGAGTTATATGATCATATATAGTTTTTATGTTAGAATGAGGCCTTACAAAATGCCACTTATGAACAAATGGGTTACGTATTTGTGCAACATTTATCTGTCGACCTGCATGATAGGATACGCCTAATTAAACAAAAACAATAGCCGCTCGAGGCACGTGCGGCTATAAACTTTGTACGACATAGACCGTTTATGGGTTTAGTATAACCATGCTAACGCTGATCGACTTTGTCTTCTTTGGCGGCTCGATACTTCTCAGTACGTGCATCGGCATCTACTTCGGTTTTTGGAAAAATTCCAAAACCGCAGACGAATACCTTCTAGGCGACAGAAAAATGAAAATTATTCCAATCAGTTTGTCCATAGTCACTAGGTGAGACAATAAGGGAAACGTTCAGTTATGAATGTCTTTTGCAGTCATATATCGGGGGTAACTGTAATGGGACTTCCCGCCGACATCTACGTTTACGGCGCAAATTCGGTGTGGGCGTGTTCGACAATTATTTGCGCTTGCCTGTTGGCTTCTTACGTGTACTTACCTGTAATTATGAAGCTAAAGGTGCCGAGCGTGTTTGAGTACCTCGAGTTGAGGTTTGACACAAGTCTCAGGAGGACTGCGTCTTTCATCTCTATCTTGCAATTTCTATTATATAACGCAATTATTGCTTATATTCCAGCGATAGCGCTTTCACAAGGTGTATCTTCAATTTGAAGTAAACCAAAATGTAACGAATTTGTAGGTGTGGCGATAGACCCTCGCGTGGTTATTGTGGTAACGTGCATCATTTGTATCTTTTACACTGCGGTTGGCGGATTTAAGGCGGTCGTGTGGACAGACACCTTTCAGTTTGGTTGCATGGCCACTTCAGTACTTGCTGTGCTTATACTAGGAGTGGGACTAGCGGGAGGAGTTTCTTCAGTTTACGAGAAAGCGTCGCAGGGAGGACGTTTAGATTTTAAGTAAAGCGAGGTCATAGGAAGGGCTCGTACAACCTCTATATCAGTTTTAGCATAGACCCAACGATAAGAGATGGTTTTTGGCAGTACCACGTTGGCTTTTTGGTGATATGGATCTATTACAGTAGCTTCCATCCTGGAGCCGTACAAAAATATCTCTCACTCTCGAACCAGTCGAGCATAAAAATGTGCCTTTCCAGGGCTGAAATTCCCCCTTAACCTGAACGTTTATTTACAGAACGGTGGGTCTACTGTGCTGTAGTTCTGTCACTTTCTATATTGTTAGTATTCTGACTGGAATAGCCATATACGCCAGATATTCGGACTGCGATCCGGTCACTGCTGGTGAAGTGGAACGTTTTGACCAGATCGTGCCGTTCTTCGTAGTCAACGATGCAAAAGTACTTCCGGGACTACCTGGAATATTCATGGCTGGATTGTTTAGCGCGTCATTAAGGTGCGTATGACTTCGAAGTATAACCAGCAACAGCTAAATTTCAGTTCACTATCATCATCACTCAACGCGTTATCCGCAATGATTTATGGGGACTTTGTACTTCCACTCTTCCCGGAGGATGTTGTGAAACAGAAAGAATATTTTATACTAAGAGCGATAGTTGTAATATGTGGAACCGTGAGTACAATTGCAGCACTATTCCTTGACAAGATGGGTGCTATACTGCCTTTCTCAAATGCTTCCGTTGGAGCACTATTTGGACTTCTGTTCGGACTTTATTCTCTTGGAATTCTATTTCCTGCGGCCAACGCAAAGGTAAGCGATCTCATGGCGAAGGTTTATTTACGAGGGCATTTTAGGGTGCGTTTTGTGGTACAGTGATCAGCTTTCTAGTTACCGCTGTCATAGCATCTATGAACCAATGGTATTCCTTGAATGGTTCCATTGCGAGCTCTTCAAAATCGTTTTCGGTTGAAGGGTGTACCATCCCCGTTAATATCACCCGCCCATTGTAAGAGTACTTACGTTACTGATAATGGTGTGATTTTACCATTTTGCAGACCAAGCGAACCATCTCCACAACCATTCGTGCTTTTCCGACTATCATTTTTTTACAATGCTGTTATAAGTGCCGCAACGGTTGTTTTAGTGGGAATTGGAGTGAGCTATTTTACTAAAACAGAAAAATGTGTGCATCCCGACCTTATAAGCCCTATTTCATTGCGTTTCGTGAGAAAGTACTGTCCAAATGGCACATCTGCTCAATACGTTGTTGGAAAGGACGGCGGAAGGGATACTTTTAGTTTTGAAGGCTCCATGTGATACTTTTAGTTTATTGATTAAAGTTTTAAATGTCTAGTAGTTTCTCGCCTCAAGGTAAGGGGAGGGGGGAGTGCTGTTACCGACAGTTAGGAAGGGACTGCGACAACCCCATTGACTGCAGTGCGAGACGCCTCTGGGTCGAAGGGAAGCAGCATGGGTTGACATGGAAAAGTCACCCCTAGCAGACGGCTGAGACTGGTCGGCTGCATCCAAGATCTCCAACACGCCAGGAGGCCTGGCGCACTGAACCGTCGCCACCGAAGGGCGTCAAGGCGTATCACCAGTGGACCTTTTTATAGTGCGCTATTTAGTTAGTGTGTTATACAGGGTGGCCCGGAGAAAACGAAACAGACTTACTAACTCGTAAGGAAATAGTTTTTAAAGGAAACTTAACACGTCGATTTGGATTGGAAGAGGGACGTCTTTTACTTCAAAATTTACACCCTTGCTGCCAACCCCCTAAGAAGGGTTGCAATCCCTTCGGTAATTTAAGTTGGCCGTTGGGTCGAGTGACACATTATTGGAGAGGGTTCTCTTAATTTTCTACACATGTGCGGTTTATTTTTCAAATTTGAGCGAGTCGTTTGTAGTATACAGGGTGTAAATATACAATTATACATATGGTTGATTTACAAAAAATTGAAAAATTCGTGATTCAATATTTAAAAAAACGTATGACACCTAGTATGCCGTGTGCTGTCAGGATGTGCGGTGCCTGTTGTGCTATATGGGGAGATCAAATCGCGCAAAAGTAAATCTTCAAAACGAAACACTGAACAGGTTGATGTAGGTCTTTTCTGTGTAACACAACAGATACCACGCATCCTGACGGCACACGGCATGCTAGATTTCACAAGCTTTCCAATTACTGAATCAGGAATTTCTTCATTTTTTTTGTATATGAACCAAATGCGTATTTGATGATGTTCTACTGCAGATTGATTGATCCTTTCAAAGGCATTACATTTGAAAAACAAAAATTTATATCGATTTCTAATGGTCTAACCGGAAGTTATGCCGAAAGTTTCAATATGCGAGTCAAGTTGCCACCACAACCACAACCCGTTATACATCGAGCACAATTAATTAGCATTAGATATTGTTCATACTATATCCTAAAGATCCCGGGGGACGAGAGTATAATTGGCTCCAGAGAACAGAAATAATCATGGAAGAGTATATTAGTCCGAAAGCTGGTAGGAATTTTTGGGTAGGTATTTGAGGCACGCTGAAAACTTGTCCAATACTTCTCCAATATATCCGAACACAGAATTGCAGGCATGGGACAGCAGGGCTAAATCAGCCCTTATATTTTTAAAGATACGATTTTTTTTTCAAAAAATGTTATTGAGGCATTTCGAAATTTTTACACCTTTAAATTTAATATTTAAAGAGCGAGAAAATCAATAAGCCAAATCATTTAGTGGGGCCTTCAAACTTCAAAGTTTGAAAGAATGCATATTGGCCGCCAATAATGCACGAAAACCCAGTGTACTCAGTACTTTGATCTATTTTGATGAAATTTTCGGGACAATGGTCTTTATTAACGATATAACGGTATCGTAAGACCATCTTCGAAAATTTGATCGACACAATTCAGTAGGCATCGAGCACAATGTATTACTATCACTGATGATTTTATATCTGTAAACAATTTAAAAAAAAGTTTTTTAATTTTTTTATTTTTGCCTTTCTAGTACATTATATTCTGTCACTAAAAAGGTAAAAAGAATTTGCTAGGAGTCAAGTTATCTCCCGAGGTTTTAGTGCAGAAACTACCGTAGTACTATTTTAGAATATTTTACCGGCACAATCCAATATGCACCGAGCACAACTTGTGAAAGTAGTACTGAATTTTGTACCTTACATAACGAGGGCTACAAGTCAAATTGACTCCTGCGTTTCAAATCAAGAAAATTGATTTTCCAAGTCACTACATATTCAAATTGGATCAGAACAATTTAGAACAACACTAGTACCATTTAAAAAGGTTCATTGCGCTTTTTTTAAATGGCGGGGCTAACTGTGTGGACGCAGTGCAGAAAAAATGATTTTTTGTGCAGTCGGCTGCGAAATAAGCCCTTCGCGGCCTCTCTGGCTCGCCTTATACAACGTATAAGTAAAATTGGACCATTTTGTAGATTTATTAATGGAAAGCCATTGCAAAGCTATTTATTACGTACACTTTCCCATGGCAGGCCACAAGTGACAGAAGGGATTTAGAAATTAAAATTGAAATTTTGAGACATTGTTTATTTTTATTTATAAATATTGCGATTGCACAAAATCATTTCGCAGCCTTGTTATACATATAACTATTCTAGGGTTTGTTTAATTGAATTGAAAATTGAATAGACGAAGGTAATTAAATTAAAAGTAATTATTCCACGATCGAAAAAGAATTATTTACTTGCGATCGTTTGGAGTAAACACTCCCGGCCTCCCTTCCGGCTCTATTTATATAGCCAAAAGTAGAAATCCACTCCCAGTACAACATTCTCCGGTACAAATATTAATGATTCTTCTCCTACAGAATTTTTAGATAAACTAAAATCCACTGTAACTTATAATGATAACGTAAAAGAAATTAATTCTAATCTAATCAACTATCGGGACAACATCGCATTACTCATCTCGCAAGATTTAGAATTCAAAGAACTTCTTCAAAAAGATATCATTAACCAAATTAAAACAACCTAGAAGATTCTGGAGATGCAATGCAACTATAATCAAAATCCCAGAAAAAAATCAAAACATACTACATTATTACTAAAGAACATTATTATAATTCTATAACTTATGAAGAAATATACAACTGTTTAATCTAACTCAACAATCAATTGCTAAAAGGCCTCCATTTTTGTCTTCAAAACTTTACACAATTTGTTAAACGCTTCCGAATTACTTCAAGAAATTAAGCTTAAGGTACCATTTGTTAAGCTAAGGCAAAATAATACTATTTTTGCAGTTAACAACACAACTTCCCCACTTATTAAGATCTTGATCACTTTAAATAAGTTGTCCTCAGTTATAATGATATCGACTTTTTTCGCGATCCCCTAAATTCAATAATAAATAAAATTAGATCTTAAGTCCTAATGTTTGTTCAGAGTCCCAGTGCCATGTAATTGGAATTTTTATTCTGTATGGTTTTTGGGTAAACAAATAAGTAAATAAATAAATATCCTCAATTAGTATGTCCAAATTGTATTCTCCTTTTGAACACTTGCAATAGAACAAAGCTAGAACAATGATGCGCTTTATTTTTAAAAATACAAATTTCAAAATAAACATATTAAACGAACAATGAAAACACGGTAGAGCACAAAAACTCAACCCAAATTATTTAGGACCTTACGAAATTGTGGAAGTCAACCCACTGCACTGCACTATTTTAGTAAAATAAGGTAAGGATAAAAGTACACGATAATAATTAAAACTCGCAAGTTCCTCATAAACATACATTTTTATTAATTTTATTTTATAGCATTATGTTAAATTGACCGGTTAATAGGTTTGAATGAGTAAACTAAACCGTTCTTTAACCGTAAAGGCATATAAAGTGAAACACATGATTGTGCATTCTAACGACATCTGTCATTCTTGTGGCAAATGCACGATATAAAATGAGGTCCAGAACATATTATGACAATTCTGTTTCCTATGAAAACCATCGCGACAGCTGAACCTAAGTTTGCCATTTTTGACGTCTTTAAATTAACTTCAGAATTTACTTGTCAGAAACTTTACAATGATTTATATGTATTCAGCTATAAAATAAAGTTTTTTTATTATACACGACGATAAAGGGAAACTAACCATCTCGTGAAAAAGAAACATTTTTCACTAAATGGTTAAAATATCCCTTTATCGTCTTGTATAATAAATAACTATTAAACTATTGAAATGTCATTGTTTCAGTTTATGGATAACCTCCAAGTTCACGATTTCGTCAGGCATTCTCAGGAATCTACCATGAACACAAACAATCCATTTTATTGAATCTCATTGGAATTTAATCACATACTTCAACTTAGAACCTGTTAATCAACAATTGAGAGATATAGGAGAATCATACAAACAAATGAAGGGGACATTTTAATCAAACTAACGAATATTGTCAAGTCCCTCTAAAATTGCTGGATCAATTAATATATCTATGCTTAAAGATACAGAAAACGATCTAAAAACAATCATCAATAATAAACGAACAAAAAGAGAATGGTTTAATGCAATTGGAAATATGTTCAGAACCGTTTTTGGAACATTGGACGAAGACGATTCTAAATACTTGCATGAATCCGTTAATAAAATAGAACAATAATAACGCAGATCTATTGCATCTGAGTAACGAACAAATTCAAATAACACGTAGTACCATCGAAACTTTCAATAATAGGTAATGTGAATATTATACTAAATGACAACTATGAAAATTTACTTTCAACAGCCAAATACTACAGCAATCAAATTAGAAATTAACGAATATTTTGAAATATTATCATTACTCATCAACGAGGTTCAAAATCAGCTTAACATAAAACTGTAACACCGTTCTATTTGCCAAATCAAATTCTATACACCCTTCAGTAATCTCTCCAAATCAACTAATTAACGAATTTTGCCACTCTTTAATCTACCCATTTCATCTTAGTAATAAAGAAGATCATAAGTTTTTAAAAATCACTAACATTGAAACTTTCTTTACGCATAATCAAATTGAATATTTAATCACGATCCCACTAATTAACCCAGAAAAGTACTATTTATATAATTTAATCCCTTTACCTATTCTAAATCCTAACACCCAAAATTATCCATTTATCCTACCCTCCTTTCAATATTTAGCTATCAAAGACAAACGTAACCTTTACTTCCCTCTAGAAAATTTAAATTTCTGTCTAGAACTAGGAGAAGTATACACAATTTGCTACAACAGTAACCCGTTATATTACCTTAATTCAAGACCTATCTGCGAGACTAAATTAATTAATCATCCAATCATATTACCAAAATTATGTGAGTTACAAACACACAAATTGAAATATGGCATAAGTTATCCACTCCTAGGGCTATACGTATTACAAGAAAATACAAATATTAACTTAGCCTATCCACTTCTGACTTCTGACACCAGTATAATGGAATCAATGGGATTAATATACCACACTCACTTTTCTTACTTATTCAGTTAACAATTTATTTGATAATTATACATGATCAGCTGGCAATATGGGTTTATAATTACCTCTTAAAATTAGTGCATCTTTCCTTAATCCGTAATTTATTATCTAATAGCGATCATTGAAGTAGGTAGTAGGTACATTACACTTATGTATTAGCGGTATACAGATGATAATTTATTTTTAATCATTGCGATCTATATACACAACTAGGAAAGCTTTCTCTTATCGCAAGTTTTTCATGTACAGTGCACGTGTCCCACATGTCCAAAAACTAAAAAAAATAAAGCTTCTCATTCTAATGCGTGGTTACTTATAGAGCGACAGAAAAACTTGTTCTGCAAACATAATTATCAACAAATAAAAACAAATAAATCAAAAGGGCGGAAAATTTGGTGTGCCTACTATTAAATTTAAACTAAGCTGTTATTATCGTCAATAACTTAATAAAGTACAAAAAACTGACGTTTTCTAAAAAACGTGTTTGTTCGGATGACGAACAAGGTAACGCCTTGCCACTTAATTAACAAATTATAAACTGACGGTTGATTGAAAAAGGTTCGACTGCCTTCTTTATTAGTCAACGGAATGCTCGATTTGACATGCATAAAAATGGTCTACTTTGTACCGTCGTCGTTACGGTCATAAAATATTTAGCCTTAAATAGAAAACGAGATGCAATCCCCCATAAATCTCCTCAGAAATGAACGTTTTGCAGACCACCTGCATTAACTTTAGTGCTCATAAAGCAATCATGTAATAAATAAATCAATTTCAAGTTAGTAGTAGCGGCGCAATTCCGTAGTGCTCCCCGAAAAGCTTCTCGCTTAAATTAAAAAGTCCTAAACGGTCGAGAAAAAGGAACAAAAATGTGGTAGCCCGGAATGTTTGTTTTAAATTGAATTGGGTTCTAACTTGCCTTCTCCAAACAATCGAGTGAGGGATGACAGGTCCGAGATTTAATTTAGTGACGGTTTGCCCCCTGTCGAGATCCCAAAATCGAAAAAGGAACATAACTTCGCCTACCATGCCATTCCGCTTTCAGCCTATGCACGAGACACACGTGCGAGTTCCTCGTGAGATTTCGAAGTGTGTGAAATGTGAAATTGGACCCATTATGAGGCTTTTAATCGTTCTTTCCGTTTGTAAGTATTTTCTTCGTTTCTTAATGAGTTTACGTGCGAATGCAGGATGTTGGGTGTTTAAGAGTGATTTATGCCGGAAAGGCAGTAGAGGGTGTCTCTTAGCAGTGTACAATTTCACATTTGTCATAGTCGTTTCTGTCCACTAAAAATAGGGAAAGCTATTAATATCGTTATTTTATAGGTTCCTTCGTTAATGGGGAGGCACGTCAATGTGCGAAGTTACTGGCGAAAGCTGCCAATCAAGATCGAAATACAATTGTGGAAACTTCGGTGAAAACTTTAAGTGGAGTTTGGCTGTCCGAAAGGTAAGGTTTTCTTTTCGCGCTCTGCGTGTAATTCGTAAAGTGCAACTGGTCCATTGTTCAAAGTGGACAATGCGGGCCATTGTCAGTTGTATTAAAGCTTTGACATAGAAAAATGCGTGCGGAGTGCTAAGCTCTATTCTGAAACTGTTAGGGTATGGCTTAACAGGTAGAACACTGCAGGTGCCCGAAACGGTTATGAATACAAAATTAATTTATTTTTTGTTTATTGAACGCGTCGCGAACATGTCTATAAACTACCCGGCTTACCTGCAGCACGTCTCCAACTTACACAGAAGATAAGATAAGAAAACGTTACCTAGGCGGTAATAATTTTCGGCTGTTGTTAAACAAAAGATATTCACAACTTTGTATGTAAATCCAAAGCTGAGCATACAAAATTCTTTAGCATTCTGCCCGCGTTCCTCTTATATGTGGTGAACCGCTACTAAAAGAGCAAATAAAATAAACCATTCACGATGACAATATTTATTGCCTCTGGACTAAGAAATAACGAAGAGGTTCTGATTCATCTATAAGATTAAATACGGTTATAACATCGTTGGGTATTCGATTCCTTTTAATTATGAGGGTACATTAAATTAGATGTTGCCTAATTAAAATTTGCGAATTTGTTTTGCACCCCACAACTTCTACCGTACTCGCCTGGATTAAGCATTTTAGCTTAAGGTTTGTACGAAATTATCTTCAGTATTGATAGCAGTTGGCATGGTTCCATCTTCTAACATCAAATGTCTTTCATTTATAGAGACAAGGGTGATTAATAAGTTAACATTAAGTGGTGTTAACGAGCAAATAATTCAGCATACTTGAGTAAGCAAGTCGCTTTAATTTACAAAGCCAAAAAAGGGGGTAGTTTCTGCTACGGGTTGGATTTATATATGAATTCGTGATCAAATGCGCTTTCATTAAGGTTACTTTGTAGGAAACTGCACCTTTTTCGTGTATTCTGTAGTACCAATACTTATTTGAGTGATTATAATTACCACACCTAAAAATTAATGTCTGAATGAAGAAATGAGCTAATAATTTTGGGACAGTTAAAGGCTCCCAGTGAATTTTCGTATTTTCGCTCAACTAAAAAGCCATCACTATTGATATTAACTTAGGTTTGACCTCGGGCTTGACTTAATACACTTTTTACCCAATGCATTGATTACTTACTTGATTGCATATAGTCCAGTAACTATATACATCAGACCATGCGTCAATTCCGGTAGTTCTGATTTTTTGTGGGATTGCTTATGTTGTTAACCCAATGTTTTCGACCTCGAGCGGCGAACGCAACATAGTCAAATATACTAAAAACCGAGGAATTTTCGTTTTCTTTTCAGATTTTGACGATGCAGTCGATTTTTGGTAAAAAAGGAAGGTCCCACTGCCTTTTTTTGAGCCTCGAAAAAAAATTGTCTCAGATCGACCCGGAAAAAAATTTTCTTATTGAATGTGGCCTGTAGAATTCATAATTTCAAACAGTTCCAAGATTGGGCTACTAGTTCAAAAGTTACAGCCCTTTTAATTTTCTTTCGAAATTGGTTTCTAGTCCATAACTTTTGATTGAGAAGCCCGATCGAAAAAGTGCGAATTGTTTTGGATTCTACGCACCAAAATTAATAAGAAAAAGTGTCTTCCCGAGAAATTTTGATGCAGTCGATTTTTTGTAAAAAAGGAAGGTGCCCTTTTTTGAGCCCCGAAAAAAAATTGTCTCAGATCGACCCGGAAAAAAATTTTTCTTATAGAATGTGGCCTGTTGAATCCATAATTTCAAACAGTTCCAAGATTGGGCTACTAGTTCAAAAGTTACAGCCGTTTGAATTTTCTTTCGAAATTGGTTTCTGGTCCATAACTTTTGATTGAGAAGTCCGATCGAAAAAGTACGAATTGTTTTGGATTCTACGCACCAAAATTAATAAGAAAAAGTGTTTTTCCGAGAAATTTTGGTGCAGTCGATTTTTGGTAAAAAAGGAAGGTTATACACTGCCTTTTTTTGAGGCCCGAAAAAAAATTGTCTCAGATCGACCCGGAAAAAAGTTTTCTTATAGAATGTGGCCTTTAGAATCCATAATTTCAAACAGTTCCAAGATTGGGCTACTAGTTCAAAAGTTACAGCCCTTTGAATTTTCTTTCGAAATTGGTTTCTAGTCTATAACTTTGATTGAGAAGTCTGATCGAAAAAGTACGAATTGTTTTGGATTCTACGCACCAAAATTAATAAGAAAAAGTGTTTTCCCGGGAAATTTTGGTGCAGTCGATTTTTGGTAAAAAAGGAAGGTTGTACACTGCCTTTTTTGAGCCCCGAAAAAAAATTCTCTCAGATCGACCCGGAAAAAAAATTTTCTTATACAATGTGGCCTGTAGAATCCATAATTTCAAACAGTTCCAAGATTGGGCTACTAGTTCAAAAGTTACAGCCCTTTGAATTTTCTTTCGAAATTGGTTTCTAGTCTTTAACTTTTGATTGAGAAGTCTGATCGAAAAAGTACGAATTGTTTTGGATTCTACGCACCAAAATTAATAAGAAAAAGTGTTTTCCCGAGAAATTTTGGTGCTGTCGATTTTTGGTAAAAAAGGAAGGTTATACACTGCCTTTTTTTGAGCCCCGAAAAAAAAATTGTCTCAGATCGACCCGGAAAAAAAAATTTCTTATAGAATGTGGCCTGTAGAATCCATAATTTCAAACAGTTCCAAGATTGGGCTACTAGTTCAAAAGTTACAGCCCTTTGAATTTTCCTTCGAAATTGGTTTCTAGTCCATAACTTTTGATTGAGAAGTCCGATCGAAAAAGTACGAATTGTTTTGGATTCTACGCACCAAAATTAATAAGAAGAAGTGTTTTCCCGAGAAATTTTGGTGCAGTCGACTTTTTATATGGATAGTTTCTATGAATTTCACCCAATTGTAGAGACGCACAGAAAAAAGGCACAAAATTTCATACCTAAAATTATAAGAAATGAGAGAAAGTGTCACGTTTTAGTTTTAAATATACAAAGCAACTTTAAGATTTCACGAAATGCACTATAGCCTTTGTTTTAAGGTCTTATTTCCTTAGCTTTCGAGGACAGAATTACACGTCGCATACAAATGACGGTTGTTTAATTAAATTAGAGACCACACAAAAACTAAACGATTATTACTAGTAGGTGAGAATGTGGAATGACTTCTCTTGCATTTTAATATTCTCTATACATCCCATAATCTGCAGCGAGGAGGATCTTATTTGAACAAATTTGGCATTTCACGTGCGGTTTTAATGTAATTACTCTTTCATAAAACAAATTAGATAATGAAAACCAACTACCCCATCACATTACTCAAAATATTGCAATATTTCTGGTTGTTTTCGGGATATTACAGGAAACTAATGTTATAAATGCACGAAATATAAAGGAATGTTGTCTGTACCTTTTCAACCCGCGTTTTGCTATTTTATTTAAAAAATGATTTTCGTGAGATCTCTTTTATTGTTTCTGATTGGCAAAGAAATGTTTTAATTGACTTGATCAGCTGCATTATTTTTTTGTGCACTGTAAATTGAGCGATTTCGTAGTTACAAATGGCACCCTCTGCAACATTCCATACGAAATTAATCAAATTTTAACGTTTGTTTCAGTTGTGAAACCAGACCAGGTCCAGAATACGTCCTTCGACACTACACATTTGAAGAAAACGGCAACTACAAATTAATCCAACACCACTACTGGGATAACTCATGCTCGTCGCCCAAACTGTCCATAGTAGCCATCGGGCTATTAAAAACCAAAAGGGACTCATTCTTGCATCACGACGCCTTGACCGGCTACAGTAAGCCCTCGAATATCACAGTAATCCCTCAGGATGCCGTAGCCGCGAAAGAATTAGACGGCATAGTCTCGAATCATTGCCCAGGTTAGTTCAAATTCGTGCACGTAACATACTGATTTTCCTCCACTTACAGGCCAATACTGGAAAACATGGAGAAGATACGAGGAACACCTCGTATTCACCAACCCTAAAGACCGACATCATCTGCAGCAACTGGAATTTGAGCGCATTCAAGAAACCCTCCCCAACACTCAACACTACCTACAAAATTCGTCTGGTGCCATAACCTGCTTGGGCGATCTTCGTTGGTCCTTCAACGAGCTTAACCTAATAAAGGTCCAGTTACGTCCAAACCAGCACGGTAACGGTAACGAAATGCACTGGGAGTTGCTACTTGGCGATATTCCCTCACGCAAAAACTTAATGGAGCACTACATGCCTACCGGTTTCCAAATTCCTCTAGTGAAAACCAGCAAAGGAAACAAAGAGGTGTTGAAAGGGCGAAAATTCTTTGTGAAATACACTTGCAGCATCTGCTCAAATTTGGCATCAAACGAAAGATCGCCGCCTCATCTCATTGAAAAGCCTCGTCTTCCTGCATATATCGGCGGGGAATGGGTTTCGGAGCGCTGCGAAGTTAGACCTATGGGCCTTTACCTGACGAGGCACTTTACGTTTCATAACGAAGACCTCAGGTGGATGGGCGAGCACCGGTTCTATGTGGATCCGTTTTGCACGTTGCGTAAATTTACCGTTACCGCATCGGGAACATTCGAAATGAACGACGGCGAGAACCCTCTGAAGGAAGCGTCGAATATCGAATTTAAAATTGAGAAGGCGCCTTTGGTAATTTACGATCAGGGCTTAATCGAGTACATGCCGTGGGAGAATTGCGGTAAACTGAGATGGAAAATCGGCGTTGGGCAGGAGCTGGCCGAGACCGGCGGTTGCGAACAGTTGGGGATTATAATACCATCAGTGCAGTACGACATCGTCAAAATGGAAATGAGCTACCAGGGCTTGTGGTTGTTATTCCTAGGCCAGGCCGATACGGAAAACAGTCCCAGGGACACACCGCTGAAGCGGCCCACGGCCTTTCAAGTGCCTCTGGTGCGATGCGGCGAAGCACATTCTCAGCATTTATTCAACAGCGACTATGAAGATTCAGGCCAACCGCGAACATTTGCCACCTACATTCAAGTTGTTCTAGTCTTTGTAACGCTGAACTTTTAAAATAATTTCCTGCTAATTGTGATAGAATTCGAGTAATTGTAAATAAGATCTAAACCTAGGCGTGTAGATATAATTTATTGCTTTAAGTTTAAGGAGAAGAGGACAAGACTTCCAGTGAATAATTTTCAACGTAGTTAACCTACCCGTGTAAAAAGTTTATGTTTATCTATTTATTGTAAATAAAGTCGATTGAATATTTTGAAAGAGGCTTCCATAAAATTCCGTAAAGGGGGTTCAGTGAAACAAAAATTTTGGAATTCCTATTTCTATTGAAACAAGCAATTCGATTGCAAAATGTATTGTTTGAAACACTTTTTTAGGTGCATTATTCACATTGGGACAACTTTTGTCTTCTGCATTTACCGTAAGGGTTTTGGATAGACTAATGCCTCCTCCCCCGTTCATGGCGCAAAATTAAATTATGGACGAAATTAGAAAACAGCTCCGCAGCCTCGTTTAGAAGAATTGCCTCCCCCTCCCCCCCACTTTATAAGGTGGTGTTCGAAATTCTCAACGATCTTAAAGAGAGTATGTAATCAAAAATTGCAGTGGATACATTGCTTTTAATTTTCATTTCATAATGTGAAATTGGTTGCAATAAAAGGATGATATTCTTAAAAAAATTAGAGTGGAAACGCTGTTTCCAAGCGTTCCCGCCCCACTACACCACTGGACATCCCATAAACGTTCTTTAGTTATTTAAGTAAAAAAATAGAAATACAGATAAAAATGCGTGTAGAAAATGTCTGAATTTATATTTATTGAAGAAGAAGCTACATAAACCATTGAGGGATTTTTATCGGTGCTCGCATGAAACCATGGCTCTAAAACTTTAGACTAGTTCCTTTATCCGAAATTTTCAATTTAAATTATCCTGATTGATGGGAAAGTATGAGAAAATGACAACTTCCAAAGTTTCCACTGTTATAACAACCAAATAAAATTTCAAAGAATGTTACCAAACCTGCATTGTGTAGGGTACCTACGTATTTGTCTCCAAAAACGCAACAGTGCGCTTAGTAAAAATATCAACGATCTCACTGCCGGCCGGTCTCATTTGATCCTTGTTCTAACCGCACTGGTTTCTGCAAATGGTATGGCAAATTAAAGAAAACCGTATACGTACACGTATTATGGGTATCTCCACGGTTGGTAATTAAATTTGCGTTAGACAAAGATAAACAAGCATAAACTAAGAGATAAAAGTGTCGTTTGGTCGATAATAGGAAAATAATACATTTTGCACCTATATAAAGGAAAAGTGCTCAAGTATAGGCATTCAGTTGATCCCAGGCAACAGAAGTAAAAATGAACGCTGCATTTTTGGTAAGCTCCCCTTTCTTATATGTTAATTTTAATATTTTTTTCGCAGATTACCTTTGTATTGGCTATCTTTGCTTTGGCCGTCGCCAATCCGTCACCAAGTCCTAACCCAATGCCTCAACCAAGACCTCAATACTGGAACTACGGTTACGGAATTGGAATGCCTTACTATGGTCATGGATTAGGTTATGGATATTACTTCTAAACCAAGACATCAGTTGATAATATCTTTATGCGGGAAATAAATTATGTTTTCGTACATTTGTCTCGTTTTTCACATCCCCCATCTTTTATGCCAAAGAAATAAAACAACCAGCTTAGATTTAGGAGGTATACGATTTCTGATGGGGTCTTGGTTGTCGATCTGAACCGTAATGAAGCGTTTTAGATCCCTTTAATGTTAAGATAAATAGAATGTATAGGTTTCATCTTTTACAAACTCTGTGTTAACAAAAGAACCATTTATGAGAAAATATAGGGGCTTTAATCAATATAGAATGCATCATAAAAGATGAGATGCAAGAAACTGACCAGAAAACCAGGCAGTCGCCATTCCACTAGAAAATTCAGAGAATCAAACTGGGGCGGAAGTTTTGCACCTGCTATTCAGTTACTTTTTATTTACTTTTACCATTGAATAATAGATTTATTATTCAATGCTTTTACTATATTTTAGACGCTAATAAATAAACCCCTGTTTGCTAAACAGCGGTATTTATTAATGTTTTACCCCTAACATATATTACGAAATAGCAACAAAAATTTCTGGTGCCAAACAAGCCCTTAAATCGTTCTAATTTAGTCTCCCGTACAAAATAGCACCGAGCATAGGGCCACTTTGTCACCAACATAATTATCTATTTCTTTGTTGAGCACTCTCTCTAAAATTCTTGAGAAAATAGTTAAGAAACGACTTTTAACTTTCTTATCTATGAGTAATTTTCTACATAGGGCGCAATTTGGTTTTAGGAAAGGTCGTAACACAGAAATGGCACTCTGTAATTTCTTGAAAGAAATCTATGAAAACCTAAACCTTGGGCATAGTGTCAATGGAGTTTTCCTCGACATTCGCAAAGCATTTGACACCGTGGATCATACACTCTTGTTGGAGAAACTTGAACGGATTGGGATTAGAGGCATTCCACTGCAATGGTTTCGCAGCTATTTATCAAACAGGAAGCAATACGTTAAAATCGGACAATCGAATAGTTCTGAGCATTTGATTAAAGTGGGGGTGCCTCAAGGCTCTGTCCTGGGCCCGATCCTATTTCTGATCTTTGCTAACGACCTTCTCTCTGGTAAACTCGAAGGTTCTGTTACAGCTTTTGCGGATGATACTGCTTTTGTATACTCAAATAATAATATCGAAGAACTGCATAAAACAATTCAATCGGACGTTAGGAAGCTCCAATTGTGGTTTACATACAATCGGTTATCTCTAAACACCGAGAAAACAATGGTTATTAATTTTGGGATTGACAACAGTGCAAATTTTCTTAACCCACTTATCTTTCATAATATATCTTGCTTAAGTAGTACTAAGTGTCACTGTCCTAGACTAAAAGTAACAAATTCTATTAAATACTTAGGTGTTTGCCTTGATAGTGGATTAACATGGAAGAGTCATATACAGAGGATAAAACAACTTTTACTAATCTCACTCAGGACATTTTACCATTTAAAATCTGTTTGTGGCGTAGCAATACTGAAGCAAGTATATTTTGCGCTTGTTCACTCTAAATTATCTTATGGCATAGCCTTTTGGGGTGGTACGTATATCTCCTATCTTAGATGTATTCAAATACTGCAGAAACGTTACATAAGATTGATTTACGGTAAAAGCAGGTATTTTTCTTCCTTTCCCTTATTTCTTTCTCTTCGTGTGCTACCCCTTCGTTATCTACGTTATCTATATGTATTCAAAGTTCTTGATCTATTTTATCAGATGAGTAGTGGCTTTGGAATAACAGTTGATCTGGGGACTGGAATTCACAATACTCGACAATATTCTAAGAAACTGCTGCGTCTACCTAAAGTCACTAAATCGTTTTTTCAAAAAACATTCTTGTTCCTCGGACCAAAATTGTGTAATTATTTTTTTAACGACTACTGAGTTGGAAAACATGTTATCTCTATCTTATTTTAAGTTAATTTTACAGTTTGATTAATTTTGCTTGGTTTATGTTATACATCTTCATTTCCACCAATGCTTCACTAGCGATACGTTGCGTAGGTACATTTTATTTAGCTGAAAATATGTTCATTAAAGTTTAATAGTTATATCTGTTGATCTCTATTTAGATGTCTGTACGTGTGTATGGCGTTTGTAGCATGATCTTGGGATTTGCTTTTCCTCCCAGTGTTCAGAGTAATTTTATTCTCATTACTCTTACTGGTGTAGTATTATTTTACCTAGTACATTATCTTTAAGGTAAGTTTTCGTTTATTTTCACACTGCTTTAATTTATACTTTATATAATTTTTAATTTTTTGTTGTGTTTGCAGTTTTGTATCTAGGTTGGAATAAAGATTATTATTATTATTATTATTATTATTTGACTGCAAATAATTATTTTTTTTATATCAAATGATGCCAAGGTAGCAGTTGGTTTAGAGAGACAAAGGAATTTGTTTATTCGGATAACTAAAGAAAGTTATGTCATCAAAACTCTGTAAAATATGTCAAAGTAGCCCCAACGTAAATTAATGCTGCTTAATTATTACGAGGCACGTCCAGAATCTAAATCCACACAGTTTATTGTCGTTTATAAAAAAATACATGCTTAAATCTGCTTAAATCTATAGATATTTAATTATTTTTTGCACCTACAGGATCAAAACGGCTATTTAATCTTATTTTTGGGTAGAGAAGTTGTTTATTCGCTTCACAGGAATTCAATGTCACCGTGATCATTCAGAATTACCGCATGAACTTTTTTCTGATAAGCTACGTTTTGTTATTCTTAGAAACTATGGTTTTCAGTGGTCGTTCATCAGCTAAATTGCTGTCATTTTAATTGATTTTTTTCTGTATTGCTTCAGGTAGCTACCTACAGTTAAACTTGTGGAGAGAAACTCCGCCCGCCTACCCTTACGGGCTTTAGGCTGCAGGTAGAAACCTCCTACCCAGCGAATCCACAAGCAAAGGAACCCACATCCAACCAACCGCGCTCCTAAAAATTAGCGGGGAAGTTTTGTAAAAATGAAACTTCTCATTGTTTGGGGAGTATCAATAATATATTTTACCTCTGTTGCTGATCGTGGGTTTGGTCTGGGTTTGGACTGAGAAAGGGGTATCATTTAATCGATTGTAGTAATTATTTCCATCATTTAGGCCCAGAAAAGTACCTAACTATTAATAGCTGCGCGGGAAGTCGGATATAACACATCAAACAAAGGCATCAACTAGTGTTGTCTAATGTCTATATCCAGCGGATTATTTTCTAACTCTGAAATATGGAAGGTTAACATTGATTAAAAGAATATCAGTAGTAAGCAAATGTATCAATCATACATCTTTTAAAAACCAATATCGTTACGGTATCTCTATACCACCATTTCAATAATTGGTAATTAAATTTACGTTAGATAAGAAATAAATTATGCTAACATTGAAAGATAGAAATCCCATTCTCCATTGATAAAATAGGTAATCAATACACACTTAGCATCTACCTATATAATGACGAGGTGTCTGAGCAAAAGTATTCAGTTGATTATTAGCAACAAAAGTCAACATGAACGCTGCATTTTTGGTAAAATTGGTTTTAATACCTTTATTTTAATATACCTTACTATGGAATTGCAGATCACTTTGGTATTGGCTCTCTTCGCTTTAGCCGCGGCTAATCCATCGGCAAATCCGAACCCAATGCCCAAACCAAGACCTCAATACTGGAATTACGGTTACGGAATTGGAATGCCTTACTATGGATTAGGTAATACCACTTCATGAAATGTTAGGAACTGATAATGTAGGTAATCCGTATTTATTGTAGGGTATGGATATTACTTCTAAGCGAAAATATTACCTCGTTTTTCACCGGAAATAAACTTTGTTTTCTAATTGTTGTTTTGTTCTTTCTTGCATACCTCATAAATCATCTTTGATGGGCCAACCCCATATCCTACCTTTGACGCCCAAGCAACCAATACCAAATTTGCAGTAGAGTATGTAATTTGAGCGTGCGACCCGGACAGTTTCGGTAGAGCGTTACATACGTTACCTACTCCGTATAGCTCCTAGCGTGTTCTTAACCCTAATTTACAGGTCTGGGGTGGATCGCACCCCACAGCCACTTTCAATGTCCATAAGTTTTTTTTCTTTCAATATTTTGGGTTGGGAGCTCGAGTACCTTCCAAGTTTAGTCTTTTCTATCGTTTTTGGCGTTTTTGGCGTTCTTAGGATTTGAGTTTTTATTTTACCACTACTTTTAGAAAAACTTTCAAGTTTACAGGTCTGGGGTGGATCGCACCCCACAGCAACTTTCAATGTCCATTAGTTTTTTTTATTTCAATATTTTGGCCTGGGAGCTAGAATACCTTTCAGGTTTAGTCTTTCCTATCTGGGGTTCGTTCAACCCCACGCCCGTAAACTTGAAAGTTTTAGTGGCCAGTAAACTAGGGTTAATTTTGCAATGTCTGTTCGTCTGTCCGCTAGCACGATATCACGAAAACGAATAAACCGATTACGATGAAATTCGAAATGAGCATAGCTTTAGCCACATAATACGCAATGCCATTCTCAGAAGCTCGTTTGTTTAATTTTTTAACTCATTCACTATTCAGGGAGTCCAGTCGGGTGTAGGCCGCAATTATTTATGTACATCCACTCCTTACATGTTGTGTTAAAAGTCCAACATGTTGTGTTGAGAGTCAAATATCTAAAGCAATTGTTTTCGACCTGAGTCATTTTACGTTTAAGGGTTAATAAAAATTAATACTATTTAAAGAAAAATTCAAACACAATATAAGTGATCAACTGGGCACGGAAGCAAATTTTAAAAAATTGGCTCGTGGCGATTGCTCTGGTAGCAAGAAATGTGCATTGCAAGAGGATGGTAGTAGAATTGGTTAAAAATGATGCTCCACCACGAGAAGGGAAAAATTGAAAAACGTAGAATGCCTTGCTATTAAATGAGAAAATGGTCCATTGTGTTCCAGGAATCAAGAAATTTTTTTCTGTTTGGGAAAACGTATTTCACGAGATTAAGTAATGGCTGAAAAGGTAGGTTGGTCTCTATCTGATCTGAGTGCTTAGGTCCTAAATTGAGATAAATTTCCCACGTTTGAGTGACGCTATGAAAATTTGCACATATTTCCTTTGACCCTTCCTCTCAAAGTTCCCCACGGGGGGGGGGGGGGATGTCTACACAAACGTTGATTGCCAATGACTGGACCACATTCATTTCGACTCTGCTAAGCTCCATGGAAGTGAAAATATTTGGAGTCAATCACTGGGGCCATATGAATAGGGATTACCTACCCATTCAGGTGCTAACTAGCCGATTTCTATATTTGTTCTATTTTTCAGTGCTCCAAACTTGCATAATTAGCCACAAAGATACCTAAGTAATTAAATCACACAAAATTTTTATGGCACTCAGAGGTATATTATCTGAGTCCTTTTGTAAATTATGGATAACTGCCAATTAAGAATAAAATGAGGGCTAATTAACTAATTAAGTACTTACAACGGTTATGATATCCCATATCACAGATGGTAATTAAATGTAGGTTTAGACAACGAAGAGATATTTGGTAATTAATCTAAATTGATCCATAAGAATGTCATTTTATGGTAAACGAAAAAAGAATAAGAGCTGACACTTATATAATAGTAACGTGCAAGAGAGCAAATTTTGGATAAGTATATTGTACTTACGGAACTTTTTTTTTCAAATAGCAACTTACGAGTACATTTTTTATTAAGTTATTCGACAGACCTTATTTTTCTGTGCATAACATTACTTTTCACTCAACGGTATAACCTACAAAAATTATGCTAGGTTTTATACCAAAAAAATTTAGAAAAAAAGTGGTAAAGGTAAAGAATAAAAATATTTCTTTCAGTAAAACGGTTATTTTGATTTCGATAAAACTTTGGCAGTGTACATTAAGCATAAAGGATATAATACTGTGAAAAGATTTGTTTAATATATGAGTTTTTAGCACCGTGAATTATTAGTAAACACAAACAAAAGTTAAAAAAAGCGCCATAAGTCACAACAACATTGAGTATTTAGGAATCAGCGTATCATGAAAAATTATCAACTACCGCGATCTACTTAGAATTATTAATTTAAGGGGTAAACTTCGTTTTTGTACAAGTATACCAATGGAATTCTGAATAAACAAAAATAAATGCGGGTTATATTCGTTACTACCTTTACGGTTACGATAGTTTTCAAGTAAGCATTTTTTGCATAGAATATATACCAGTTTTAGGAATGATTTATGGGGGTTTAACTGCATACACGAGACGAATTGGGGTGTAGCCGAGAGTGTATGGGGTCATTTCTTTTGGACTACCAGTTCCGGTAATCTTATATTTCAATCAATGATATTTAATTAATTTATATGCGAGCTGTCGATTATTGCGGAAACTAGCAGGGATAAATCATTACTAAAATCTTCTTCATATGGAGAGGCCCATTACACATTTCACATAACTCCTCCACTTAATTATTTCAAATTATATACTTTGTATTGAATATTCTTATTCTGCATCTGAAAATAATAAGCTTTCGCGGGAAACATGTTTCCCTACACTTATCATTTTTTGTACACTCTCTTCTAAAAGCGCTATTTTTGGATTGAGCTAGGAAGATATTCTGTCAAGAATTTGGCACATTCTTTTGTATAGAAAATACAGCAACCTATATTAATTTAAATATGTAAAGACCTATTCATTTTGTACATATTTTTTTTATAATTCCCATTTCCCATAATAGCGGCACTACAACACACCAAGAAAGAGTTAAAAAAATAATTACCCATTCAAACAGAGTACAAGAATAAATTATTTTCCTCTGTAACTCTTGGTTCTAAGACCATCCCGGTAAACAACGAAAGAATCCATAGCAAAACAACTTACGCATGCATTATAGTGGTATCTTCAAACCGATGTTGGTATAGGTAATTAAGTTTACGTTAGATAAACAGATATTAGACACATTAACGTAAATTGAAAGATATAGGAGTGTAACTTGATTTGTAATATGGAAATAATAGCACAGTTCACACGTATAAAAGGACCACCTGTCTTAATAAAGGTATTCAGTTGATCCCAAGCAACAGAAGTAAAAATGAAAGCCGCATTTCTGGTAAGATCATCTTTATTAACGTAATATCAATATCCCTTTCTAGATTACCTTTGTATTGGCTATTTTCGGTTTGGCCGTAGCTAATCCATCACCAAATCCGAACCCAATGCCTAGAGCAAAACCCCAATATTGGAACTACGGTTACGGAATGGGAATGCCATACTACGGTTTAGGTATAGATTCACTAATGACATCTAAGGACGTAGGTAATTCGCTTTCTTTGTAGGTTATGGTCATGGATACTACTTCTAATCGAAACTGTCATTTTGTATAATCTTTGCACCACAAATAAATCAGGTTTAAACAATTTAGCGTTTATGTTATTAATAAATTACAGAAATAGAAGTATGCATGAATGCTTCATTCTGAAAAAAAAAACCAACTAAGTATGAAGTACCTCTCGACCAAATTATTTAGCAACGCCGTACGTCTTTAAAAATCTATTGTCATTTATTACATGACTGGTTACTCTTAAATAAGGTGTGGGTATTGATTTATAAGATTTCCTTTTCGTGTCATTTGTTACATGTGGAAAAAAGGTGCTGTGTGACTGTATAAACATAGGTAGTGCTTGATTAAGGGATATGAGGGGTACTTGGTTTTTGGGACGATCTGAATAATACAACACTATTGTACTGCCTTCCAATTCCACTACTGTTTGAGCTACAATCGTCTCATAAAAAGTGCAACTAGTGTATAGCCATTTACTTAATTTAACTTCAAATAGCAGAAATCCAGCATTTTATTAAAGTCCACATATAAATCCAAAACTGCAGATAGATCCGGACAAGACCAAAATTTAAAATTCTTCCCCAAAAATGAACCACACTTCATTACGATAGACTAAGTGTGCTATACTTTGAGTTGTATAGTACTGGAAATACAGCCTTGCAAAGATAAGGAGTTTGGTAATTGAGATTAAAATTTACGAAGAATTTATATGGATGATTGGAGTCAACGAAATATGTGTCATTTCTAGGCAGTGGTTGCCAATGCGTCTATAGGCGTATTTTGTTCGTTTCTGCCAGGAACGCGTGAAAAGAAGATAGATTACAGCCCAAGTCCCACTGCCGTTTTTCCACCGAAATATGAGCAAATGTGTCAGCTAATAATCTGTGAGATGCATTGCGCCCGACGCAGGGCTAATTCTGTGACTATAAACATTAAACAATCCTACCTAAACCTTTACCTTTAATTAATCATGAAGATAAGCTCATCGTGGAAATTTTTTATTCACCTTATTTTGAAATAAGAGCACTAACCAAATAAACATTTAAACGTCGTCATTACAAGTTAATCCACCATTGTGTGCATTAAAAAATGTACTCGGTAATTAAAGACGGGATCATTTAGAGTGGACAATTTTAACAGGGAGAGAGATCGCAATCGCAAATCTTAAGACTAACTCAAAATCCTTCAATGTCACACAATGAATACAAAAATAAAAGTGCTGCGATCGAACGCATTTTTTATATCGCGATAAAGAAATACGTCGTCGGATTCATGGCGAATTAACTAAACCGTGAGAGATTTAATAAGCGACAGTGTTACGATAAACTTATTTCAAACGGTCTCATTGTTAGAGACGTAATTATAACCACAAATTGATGCTTACTGATATTTTTTTACAATTATATTAAACAGTAACAGACCTGGGCAGTATTCGATTTTGTAAATACTTTTTAGTATTCAAATCCTTTAAAGTATTCAAATACTTTGTAATTAAATACTTTTATGGAAATATTTAGTATTTGGATACTTCGTAAAGTATTCGAATACTTCGCATAGTATTTGAATACTTAAGCTTCCTTTTTTTTACCAAAAATCGACTACTCCAAAATTTCTCGGGAAAACAGTTTTGCTTATTAATTTTGATGCTTAGAATCCAGACGATTCGTACTTTTTCGATTAGACTTCTCAGTCAAAAGTTATGGACTAGAAACCAATTTCGAAAGAAAATTTAAAAGGGCTGTAACTTTTGATCTAGTAGCACAATCTTGGAACTGTATGAAATTATGGATTCTACGGGCCAAATTCTATAAGAAAATGTTTTTTCCCGGTCGATCTCAGACAATTTTTTTTCCGGCCTCAAAAAAAGGCAGTACTTTTAAGTTATTCAAATATTTGAGAACATTTTAGAAATGTTTAGGGAAAGTTTCCATTGTCATAAAATCAAATATAAAAATCCGATACATCTGAATACCGAACTCGATAGTCTACGTAACTTAAAAACAATAGGGACCTTTCTTATATCCTTGAGACCATGTGTACCAATTTTCAAAGCGATCGCACGTTTTTAAACAAGTTATCATGCACACGGTCAAACAGATGGTCAAAAATGGATCTGTTCCAAAATCGCTAGGATTAATTTCAGAAAGGCGTACGTATCATGTGCACGACGCTTTAAAAACTGGTACGCGTATTCTTAAGGATATAACTGGTATAAGAAAGGTCCTGGTAGGTACCTCCTATATAATAATATAATAATAATAATACGCTTTTACTCCCCTTAAATTTGTATATAACAATAGAAATATAAAAAAAGCTAACCCCATACAAAGTATAACTTGATTTTTTAAGTAGTATTAAGCATTTTATCTAGTATACTATTTTAAATTTTTTATGTATTTGAGTGACAAGTATTTGAATACTTTTTACTATATTCGAATACTTTTTATAGTATTCGAATGCCTTTGATAGTATTAGAACACTTTTGAAAGTATTCGAATACATTTTAAAGTATTTGAATACTTTTCAATGTATCTGTATCTAGTATTCGCTTGTGCTGGACGTAAAAGTATTTAAATACCTTTGATTTGTGTAAACTATTTACTATTTAGTATTCAAATACTTTTTGAAAGTATTCTGCTCAGCTCTGAACAGTAATAAAGTTCATGAAGCTGTCTGTACGCAAAGCATATCCTTCGACGTATATTTTCACTTACAAGGAAAAGAAACATCGAAATCGAGCCCATTATTTTGTAGTCAAGAAAAATTTTCCACTTGAAGTAATAGCCATTACCAGAAGGATTCAATATCAGCCAATTTTCAGGTTCATTTTTCTTGAAAAAACCATCTGTATCGACTGTACGGTCTGTAACATCCGTAACGTCTGTAACGTTTGTACCACCTGGAACATCGGTATAGTACATCAATCCAGCTGTATTTAGATGGTAAGAACAACCCATTTCATGAACGAATTTGACGTTGGGCCCGATGATGGGATTCTCCCGAAACGACCGCCACAGAATACTTTAAGTAAATTATTAGTTCGCCAACTTACGTCATCGTTTGCTTTATTATTCCATTCAAAGGTCCATTTTAACACCGAATTTTCACCCTTTTCAATGTATAATAGCCCATTAGAACATTTGTAACAGTTTAGTTTATTCATATTCAAATTTCAAAAATTACCGCTTGCTAGGTTAGGTAGGATATAGGTGAGATGGCGTCACTTGTACGCGTGTTTCTTTCCTCGCGCAGAATCGCGTTATTTTTTCACTTCATTTCCGTTTTAAAGCCAACGAGGTTGTACTTGTTGTAGAGCGTGGCATTGTGAATTCTTCTTAAACCAGTGGGTAATATTTGCCATCATTCACGTGAAATCTCTGGCAATTTTACCTTTTCATTGGCGTTGTCGAGTAGTGTAACTCAGAAGCCGTTTTCTCCATTGCGAGGCTATATCTGGTTGAAGTTCATCGCCCTACCTACATGTAAGTGAAATGGCGTTGGCTTTCTTTTACGTTATGTTATCTAAAATTCTTTCAGATTCACAATTTGAGGTTGGATAATTTCCATATTTCATTGATTTAAGTATTTTTCATTACCCTCCTGACGATTTCAGGTATGTTATTAAAAATCTCGTTAAGGGAGTGTTACATCTTCATTACTTTTAGGGGGTCCATGTAGTAGATGAATTCTTGTACCGGTCAATCCTTGTACAGACGAATCCTTGTATGGTATAGTTTATAGTATATCCTTGCACATTCTTGTGTGCGGAGGACATTGACCTGGCATAATTTTGGGATAGTAAATGAATTTGCATCTTGCGAATATTCCGGAGTACGAACACCTGTTGATTGCCGGCAGCTATCCGGCGTACCACCGAGTAGATAAGCGCTGACACCTAAACGATACCGGGAGCGACCAGCTGATTGTGGAATTTTCGGAAGATACGATCTTTTACACAACCTTTTTTATTTGCTTCAATACCGTTAATCTAGTGTAACCTTCCGACGATTTATGATTGGAGCTTTGTATTTTGTTCACGTCTAGTGTTTGAGGTCGTGGCTCTCTTCAAGAGCAACGCACCTGTATTTAACGTATGGGTAAACGAGCCGGCTACGAGTAAGCTATTTTTGGCCCTTCCGGCTCATATAATCGTTCCGAGCGTTGTAGCTTGGGGTTTGTTTTTGTGTTACAGAACTGGAACTTCGAAGGAGAGCTCTTTTTCGGAGAAGACAGCGTATGTGTTATTCAAGGTAAGATTTTTAATTTACTTGTACCCAGTGTTGCCTATATGAGTTGTTATTCGGGCTAACTTAATTCAATCTTTGAATCCATTGAAATTTTAACTACATTTTTGCTCGATCATTGTTGTAGGGGTCTGGTAACGTAATTATTAGGGAAGTGTTCATGAATTTATTTGGGGATTATTTTTGTCATTTAAAGTATTTGTTATTGTCGTATTGAAGATACATTTTATTTGCCGATCCTGCACCGTTTTGCCAGGATTAATAAATCAGAATTGCTCGTAGTGAATTTATTATTTGGCTCTCTTGTGTTTTCCCAATTTCTATACAGGAGAGGTCAGAATTTGTGCAAAATTGGGTGGCGCTCAACTAATCATTTCTAGTAACTACCAAAGATCAAAAACTTATGTTATATGCCCAAACGAACAAACCGCTGTGGAAGATTCTCATCTCGAGCCCTTCTTTTAATTAAGAATCTGCCCAAACGAACAAACCGCTGTGGAAGATTCTCATCTCGAGCCCTTCTTTTAATTAAGAATCTGAGCTAGCTGGCCGTTTATGCGGCGGGGTTTGAGTTTTACAGCGCCGAACTAACCTCACGTTATACATTTTCAAATACGCTTAGGACAAGCGAGCTGTGCCTTTCAAGCATTGTAAACTCTTTTCACTAATCTCGCTTTTGTCTCGAATTCCCTGAGAGTATTTGAAAATTTCGAGATAATTTTGAGATTTTAATTGGTTCAAAGTACCCAAAAAGTACAGATTTACAAGATTCAAAATACTCCAGACAAAATATGTGAGTGAAGGAGACGACACTCAAAAATAGCGCCTACTGAAGTTCGAGCAAAAATACTTCCGGGCACATGGTCTTTCGTAAGGAAGACAACGATTACCTTCTTCAGAGGAGTTTCCATCACCGTTTGATTAATTTTTGAGGAAAAATTAAAAGTTGTACTCTTGTCCGGCTCCATTGGATCTAGATTGCTACTAGACTATTTGCAATTAAATGAAGTAAATGATTATACACTTAATGTACTATTTGTGAGACGATTAACTTATGTAACGACATAGTATGTCCTAGCTCTACCTTTTAGAGTAGTTGCTGGATGATTGGGTCGAGGGATACTTCATAGTTGGTTTCCTAGGGTGAAGAATTGATTGCATACTATTAATTGTGTAATTTATTAATAATACAAACGCTGAATTATTTAAACCTGGTTTATTAGGGTGCAAAGATTATATAACGTATGACAGTTTCGGTTAGAAGTAGTATCCATGACCATAACCTACAAAGAAAGCGAATTACCTACGTCCTTAGATGTCATTAGTGAGTATATACCTAAACCGTAGTATGGCATTCCCATTCCATAACCGTAGTTCCAGTATTGAGGTCTTGGTCTAGGCATTGGGTTAGGATTTGGTGATGGATTCGCTACGGCCAAAGCGAAAATAGCCAATATAAAGGTAATCTAGAAAGGGAAATTGAAATTACGTTAATAAAGATGATCTTACCAGAAATGCGGCTTTCATTTTTTACTTCTGTTGCTTGGGATCAACTGAATACCATTATTAAGACAGGTGGTACTTTTATACGTGTGATCTGTGCTATTATTTCCCCATTACCAATCTAGTGACACTCCTATCTTATAATGTACGTTAATTTATTAAATATCTATTTGTTATCTAACGTAAATTTAATTACTAGCAATGGTTTGGAGATACTATAATGCTTATGTGGTTTGTTTTGGTACCTGTACACTTTTTAAGTTTTGGGAAACTATTTTTTCTAAAACTACAATCAAAATTAAAAAATTATCTTATGCAATAATTAAGTTTGACAATGGCAATCTAGATACAAGTGTCGAGTATGTTTTAATTTTAAATGTCATTATTAAGATTAACGGCGCAGCAATTGTTTTTTACTTTCTTCACTAGAGAGGAAAATCACATTTTCTTCAGCCTTTAGAGTGTCTAAATGCAGAAAAAAAATTATGTGACACACCATGCTTTAATTATGAAACACAATTATCGTAAATTACATACTGTTGTCTATTTGATAAATAAGAGTGGATTAACTGTGCACTTTTGTTTCCAAAGTCATAATTTCGTAGTTTATCTATTAACATTTTGTGTGATACGCAGTCAAATGCTTTGGTAAAATCAAGACTTGCTAAACTAATGTATTTTTTATTTTCAAATCCTTTCATAATTGTTCGTGCTAAATTACTCACAGCCAGAGCAGTAGACTTTCCTTTTCTAAACCCAAATTGCGATTGACTAATTATATGATGATCCTCGAAATAACTTTCTATTTGAAGTTTTAAAACAGATTCAAAAATTTTGCTAAACACGGGTGTCAAAGAAATAGCTCTATAGTTATTAGGATCAGACAAGCAGCCTCTTTTAAAAATTGGTACGACTTTAGAAATTTTTAATACGGAGGGAAACGTACCACTCACAATAATACATTTATTAATTAACTTTGTCAATTGATATAGTATAACATCCTTCATTGCCTTGACAATTTTTACAGTAATCTCATAAGGATCTTTGCTACAGCTATTTTTTAGTCGATCAATACACTCCCTAATTGTACTATAGCCCACTTCTTTAAAGCTATAAAGATAAAATGGCTCAATTCCATGATCATTATTACAAAGTTGCAATACCAAAAGTTTAGTTTTCAATCCTTTTCGAGCCAATGAAGTAAAATAGTCTAGTGATAGTCATGACCCCTTTCGTAAGCTATTTTGCAAGTTTATTTCGATGAGTAACTCTCACATGATGCCCCTGCAAGGCAAATAACTCTAATCTGCAATTATTTTTTTAGGTTCAGGTTTGATAGCACTATAAATAGGCAGTTCAGGTAAGTTTAGCTTCGCCCTTTAGGACACATTTTTCGGTCATGTGTGAGCATTAAAATGATTTAATGGTGATGGTTCATTTTAATTACTAAGTTAATAAAAAGTGTTTAACTATTTGCTCAAGAACGGAAAGTTCAATAGATTATCAACGTAATTATGATTAATATGTCAGGCTCTAACCGAGGAAGATAATCGTGTTATTTCTCTCGGTGGTTGCACAAGTTAAGTTTAATTGTGGAAAGAAACCATTATCGTGTAAGTATCAATAGAAATGAAATAATAATTAATTGCCGGTCTGCGTTTATTACAAATTTAACCCATTTGTTAGTGTTGTGTGACTCCTCAGCGCCACTCTTCATAAGGATAACCAGGTATGATTAAAAAAACTGCAATGGGAACCTTTACACGTCTTTGCAAAAGGGTTCGGTTTTTTGACATATAAATATGAAGTTAGATATTAGACAGGCCTTGTAAATATTTCTGGTTCTTCGGAACAAGTTGACGTTGAGAACAATCCTATTAGTATGATCTAATGACACGTAAATCGCGATGTTAGCAGCACGTTTATCTCAGTAAAGAGATTGCAGTTGTGAAAATGTACAATTTACGTAATGCTGATTATTTTGAAAACCAAATGATGTAGTACAATTAACCATTGGTGCGCATAACTAGGATAATCCACCAGATCAGGATTACATTCCACTGGTTTTTGTCAAACCTAGGGTAATTTATTCCTCCTCCACCGAGCCCTCGCGAACCGTTATTTTTTACTTAATGTTTATTTTACAGGATGAAGGTTGTCTTCATTATCGCCGTTTTGGCGGCCACGGTTCTAGGTAAGCTTAGCACTAGTTCTGAATACAGCACTAACGCGACACCAATTTCTAGCCCACTCTAGAGACTTCTCCATCAAGTTGAAACATGACGGCCCTACTGTAGTTGGTGGCAGAATCAACTTCATTGCTAGATTGTTCGAAAAGAAAGATCCAGCAGTTGGATCCTTTAGATTCGATTGGGAAGATAACACGTTCGCTCATCATTCGGCAAGCGTAAGTGTCTCCAGCCCGAAAACTTGCACTAATTTGTATTGGTTTTAGCACGAAAGTGACTCCCCAGTAGACGTTTGGTCGGTATCCTACTCCCAAGAGGATACTCCCTTACCGGGAAAGTACGTCACAACGGTTACGATACATAAAAAATACAATGGAGACTACGTCGCCGTTGCGAGGCTACAAATAAGATTCGAAATTAAAGGTAAATCTTCTAAGAGTAACCCCGTTTCTCCAACCGCTGTTATAGCGTCCAAAGAAGAGAAGAAACCCCATCCCATAGTATCGCAGTCGTGGATGGACTACAAGCGCGAGAAAATCCTTAACTCCCAGGCACGAGCCTTGGACAATATTAAGGATCCACGAGTCAAATCGATAGTTTCCAACAGAATTGATTTGATAAACGACAGAATTCCGTTCATGTCCACGTCAGACGAAGAACCGAAACATGAAGAGAAACGAGAAGACACTCACTTTAATGACGTCATGAATTACAAGCGTCAACGAATCCTTGACTCCCAGCAAAGAGAGTTGGATCATATTTGGAATCCTAGTGTCAAGTCGCTCGTCTCCAAGAGAATCAATTACATCAATTCGCACATTCCCTTCATGCAAGATTCATTCGCAGAGCCATTGGAAAAGCATAACAAAAAAATTGATGAGCTGAAAGAGGCCGAGGACGCAGTGGTAAATAGTATACAAGAACCCACGGTTAAAGAAGCGGTGGTGGGTAGGATCAAAGAAGAGAATAAGAGAGTTCCCTATTTATCAAATGCCGATGACGTCGCCGCCAGGTTTTCCGACGCGCTGGACGCTGTGCACGACAGAATTAAAGAAATTAAAAAATCCCAAAAGCTCGTATTGCTCAATATTAAAGACGCCGAGAAAAGAGAGGAAGCTCTAAAGGAAATTGAGGCGGAAAACAAGGCGTTGGAATCTAAAGGCAAAGAACTCGACGCTCAGCTTACGGAGGCCTTAAACACCATCCACCAGAGGATGGCCGAGCTGAAAGACATAGAGGCTGAAACCTTGACCGCTGTCGACGACCCGGTGTTGAAAGAGAAGGTTCGCGTGAAACTTGATACCCAAAATGAAAAGGTTCCCACTCTCCTGGACGATGTCCTAGAAGCGCAGTATCCTACTCCACTCGAGGAATTGAGTGGCAAAATTCAGGAACTGGAGGTGGCCGAGTGGGAGGCGATAGCTAGTGTCGATGATCCTATTCTCAGGGAAATTATACTGAACAAGCTCAACGAACACAACCAGGAAATTCCCACGTTGCTCAAGTCAGCAGATGCCAAGTCAAAGTTTACAAAGAAAGTAGAAGATGCGCACGCGAAAATTACTGCAGAGGTAAAGAAGGTAGACAATCCACCGCTGTACAGCATTAAGGACACCTCAGTTAGAGCTTCTGATAAGGGCGAAAAAGCTAAAGCAGTAGATGATAGCTTGACTGCGTCTCTAACGGAAGTGCGAAACAAAATTGCAGCTTTAAAAGATTCCGAGAAAAAAATCGTGGATGATACCTCAGCGTCCGAGAAGGAAGACGTGCTGGATACGATCGACGAACACAACAAGCGAATCCCATCGTTGCTGCTTCCGAATGTGATCGAAGCCAACTTTACCAAAGCTTTAGACAAGCTTAACGACAGAATCGCCAACATGACCAAGGTTGTCGATCTTGCCACGGCAAATATAACCAACCCGTTTTTGTTATCAATGCTGCAGGCGAAAATGGGTCTGGTCAATTACAAGTTGGTATCAAAATACAACGAAATCAAGGACAATTTCACGTCGCTTTTAGACGAAATGGCCACAGAAAGCGGAGACGAGCCAACTGATGAACCAGCAAAAAAAGTTCCAAGGTTATCCTTTGCTCCTGGCATGTTCATGCCTCAACTTCCCGATTTTATAGCGCAGAAAATGGCGATGAAAACGGTGCCTTTTGGTATGCTGTCGCCGGCCGCAACAGACCCGACGATGCAAAATGCCCTTCTCGACCAAATGGCGGCTAGGAACCAAATGATTCAAGCCAAGACAAATATGATCGGCGCCAATATGGCCACAGCTATGGCGCTAATACGTGCAAAGATTGCAGCTTTGCAGACGTTGGAGGATTCCGCTGTAGAAGACATAACGGATCCTGTCGACAAGGAGATAGTACAAGCCAGCATCGACGAAGAAAATAAAAAAGTGCCGCTTTTGCTACTACCGTACGGCATCGAATCAAACTTCACAACCGCTCTAAATGACTTCCAGACTCGCATAAACACCATAAAAGATAGCGTCGCCGGTATCACGAGCAACATTACAATACCGGCAATAAAATCGATCGTCTCCGCCAAATTCGACTTCGTCAACCAAATGCTAATGAACAAATACGCCCAACTCGACTCAAATTTCACGGCGATAATAACGAAAATTCAAGAACGTTTCGCCAACCTAACCGATCCTCAACCGGAAACCGCGCCCAAAAAAGTACCGCTGCTGACCAAAGCGATGGGCCCGAGTCCCACCTTCGACCTGACCCTAATATCCGACCTGATCAAAAACCGAATGGCGAGCAAGTCGGCGTTTGCGACCAACCCGATGGCGGGCATAATGAATCCCGCGGTTCAGACGCTGGTTACCGACAAGCTGAACGAGAGAAACAAAAATATGTCCCTGATAGCCGACAAGATCGCAGCCAATTTTACGAAGATAATGGAGGCGATCAATAACAAGACGGACGAATTGCAAGCGATGGAGACGCTCACTTTGGATAGTGTCGATGATCCGGTGCAGCAGGCGGAGGTTTTGGCGAAAATCGAGGAAGAAAACAAGAAGATTCCGTCGCTAAGTTTGAGTAAACGAAGTGTTAAGAAGAAGGATGATGCGGAGGTTGTTCCTGAGAAACCCAGTCAGTTTAAGTTAAGATATCCTTTTATCATCAGGTTCTAGTAGTGGCTAAGTTTTTTGGGTCAGTGTGTGGGGTAGTTGTTAATATTCTTGTAGGTAGGTACTCGTACTTTATTGCCATGTAATTGTAATATTCATGTTTCGTTACAGTAAAGGGTTGTACACAGTCATAAAATGTAATCACTGTTTTATTGAGTCAGAATTTGATAACAAATTAAGCTGATGCCAAAGAGTAACTAATAATTATTAAGTATTCTTTGCTGATGCGATTATTTCTTCTTTTGTTTTTTTTTCCTAAATTACCATCTTCGCCTTTTTATAAATTTATTATTATTATTTTATAAATTAACTAGTGTGACTAAATCAATTACAATCAGGAATCAGGATCAATTGTGAAATGTTACAAATTGGTTGGTCGAAAAAGAATTCTTCCATTTTGATGATTAATGCATTTATTAGAGATTATAAGCTCTGTAAATGGTATCTATAAATGCAGATTGAATTTAAGTATGAATTTCTCACTAACTAAAAGTTGGTAACACTCAAAAAATTTTCTTATAGAATGTGGCCCGTAGAATCCATAATTTCAAACAGTTCCAAGATTGGGCTACTAGTTCAAAAGTTACAGTCCTTTTGAATTTTCTTTCGAAATTGGTTTCTAGTCCATAACTTTTGATTGAGAAGTCCGATCGAAAAAGTACGAATTGTTTTGGATTCTCGCACCAATATTAATAAGAAAAAGTGTTTTCCCGAGAATGTTTGGTGCAGTCGATTTTTAGTAAAAAAGGAAGGTTATACACTGCCTTTTTTTGAGCCCCGAAAAAAGACATTGTCTCAGATCGACCCGGAAAAAATTTTTCTTATAGAATGTGGCCTGTAGAATCCATAATTTCAAACAGTTCCAAGATTGGGCTACTAGTTCAAAAGTTTCTTTCGAAATTGGATTCTAGTCCATAACTTTTGATTGAGAAGTCCGATCGAAAAAGTACGAATTGTTTTGATTCTACGCACCAAAATTAATAAGAAAAAGTGTTTTCCCGAGAAATTTTGGTGCAGTCGATTTTTGGTAAAAAAGGAAGGTTATACACTGCCTTTTTTGAGCCCCGAAAAAAGAAATTGTCTCAGATCGACCCGGAAAAAAATTTTCTTATAGAATGTGGCCTGTAGAATCCATAATTTCAAACAGTTCCAAGATTGGGCTACTAGTACAAACGTTACAGTCCTTTTGAATTTTCTTTCGAAATTGGTTTCTAGTCCATAACTTTTGATTGAGAAGTCCGATCGAAAAAGTACGAATTGTTTTGGAATCTACGCACCAAAATTAATAAGAAAAAGTGTGTTCCCGAGAAATTTTGGTGCAGTCGATTTTTGGTAAAATAGGAAGGTTGTACACTGCCTTTTTTTGAACTCCGAAAAAAAAATTGTCTCAGATCGACCCGGGAAAAAATTTTCCTATAGGATGTGACCCGTAGAATCCATAATTTCAAACAGTTCCAAGATTGGGCTACTAGTTCAAAAGTTTCTTTCGAAATTGGATTCTTCCATAACTTTTGATTGAGAAGTCCGATCGAAAAAGTACGAATTGTTTTGGATTCTACGCACCAAAATTAATAAGAAAATGTGTTTTCCCGAGAAATTTTGGTGCAGTCGATTTTTGGTAAAAAAGGAAGGTTATACACTGCCTTTTTTGAGCCCCGAAAAAAAAATTGTCTCAGATCGACCGGGAAAAAAATTTTCTTATAGAATGTGGCCTGTAGAATCCATAATTTCAAACAGTTCCAAGATTGGGCTACTAGTTCAAAAGTTACAGCCCTTTGAATTTTCTTTCGAAATTGGTTTCTAGTCTATAACTTTTGATTGAGAAGTCTGATCGAAAAAGTACGAACTGTTTTGGATTCTACGCACCAAAATTAATAAGAAAAAGTGTTTTCCCGAGAAATTTTGGTGCAGTCGATTTTTGGTAAAAAAGGAAGGTTATACACTGCCTTTTTTTGAGGCCCGAAGAAAAAATTGTCTCAGATCGACCCGGGAAAAAAATTTTCTTATAGAATGTGGCCTGTAGAATCCATAATTTCAAACAGTTCCAAGATTGGGCTACTAGTTCAAACGTTAGTCCTTTTGAATTTTCTTTCGAAATTGGTTTCTAGTCCATAACTTTTGATTGAGAAGTCCGATCGAAAAAGTACGAATTGTTTTGGATTCTACGCACCAAAATTAATAAGAAATAGTGTTTTCCCGAGAAATTTTGGTGCAGTCGATTTTTGGTAAAAAAAGGAAGGTTATACACTGCCTTTTTTGAGCCTCGAAAAAAGAAATTGTCTCAGATCGACCCGGAAAAAAATTTTCTTATAGAATGTGGCCTGTAGAATCCATAATTTCAAACAGTTCCAAGATTGGGCTACTAGTTCAAACGTTACAGTCCTTTTGAATTTTCTTTCGAAATTGGTTTCTAGTCCATAACTTTTGATTGAGAAGTCCGATCGAAAAAGTACGAATTGTTTTGGATTCTACGCACCAAAATTAATAAGAAAAAGTGTTTTCCCGAGAAATTTTGGTGCAGTCGATTTTTGGTAAAAAAGGAAGGTTGTACACTGCCTTTTTTTGAACTCCGAAAAAAAAATTGTCTCAGATCGACCCGGGAAAAAATTTTCTTATAGGATGTGACCCGTAGAATCCATAATTTCAAACAGTTCCAAGATTGGGCTACTAGTTCAAAAGTTTCTTTCGAAATTGGATTCTTCCATAACTTTTGATTGAGAAGTCCGATCGAAAAAGTACGAATTGTTTTGGATTCTACGCACCAAAATTAATAGGAAAATGTGTTTTCCCGAGAAATTTTGGTGCAGTCGATTTTTGGTAAAAAAGGAAGGTTATACACTGCCTTTTTTTGAGCCCCGAAAAAAAAATTGTCTCAGATCGACCCGGAAAAAAAATTTTCTTATAGAATGTGGCCTGTAGAATCCATAATTTCAAACAGTTCCAAAATTGGGCTACTAGTTCAAAAGTTACAGCCCTTTGAATTTTCTTTCGAAATTGGTTTCTAGTCCATAACTTTTGATTGAGAAGTCCGATCGAAAAAGTACGAATTGTTTTGGATTCTCGCACCAATATTAATAAGAAAAAGTGTTTTCCCGAGAATGTTTGGTGCAGTCGATTTTTAGTAAAAAAGGAAGGTTATACACTGCCTTTTTTTGAGCCCCGAAAAAAGACATTGTCTCAGATCGACCCGGAAAAAATTTTTCTTATAGAATGTGGCCTGTAGAATCCATAATTTCAAACAGTTCCAACATTGGGCTATTAGTTCAAAAGTTACAGCACTTTGAATTTTCTTTAGTAATTGGTTTCTAGTCCATAACTTTTGATTGTTATTTATATTTCTGTCACTGTCACTCATTGGGTAACTGAATCATTAATATAAATTCAAAACATGCTCTATGCATGCGCGTAACTGGGACAGAGATCCCCCTTGTGGCACTCTCTCTCTCTCTGATCGCGCATTCCAGTATAATTATAGTTCAGTGCATACAACCATCCCATTACGTGTTCTAACTTCTAACACACCCACACGAATGAATGACGTCACAACATGGCGCACAGGCACAATACCATTGGGCCACACGTGTCTACATCCACGTCTACAATTCGCTGTGACGTCACTTCCTGGTCCCGTACATACATTGCATCTCTACTATCGCCGATCGCATCTTGTCCAGGAGCAAGAGACCGAAAACTTCTGGTGGCGCTCGAACTCCCGTTCCGCAGACTATCGCCGCCGTCACAGTCACCGCTGGGTTTTCCTTCATTAAATTTAAAATTGCGCTAAAAAAAGCTACAAATACAAAAAAAAAACAGAATTTCAGGACTCAAAGTTAGCCTCGTTTCGCCACGAGACTAAATTTCTGTCTCGTCTCAAAAATGCGAGGAGACCAAGTCTCGTCTCTGCAGCATCACTATTCACTACTACTCTAAGTAAAGATAGCTTATTATAGAAGCATCTTTTTGATACCCCATTTTCTAATACTGCAAGAAATAAATTTTGTAACTGTAATTTAAATTCAATATATTTCAACAATCTTATTAAAGGCATAGAGTATCTGCTTGCTAGTATACATCAGCGAAAATAGGCACTACAATCGATACCATACAAGATACAATCGTTTGAAGACCAATCTCACAATCAATAAAATAAATAAAACCATATCATATATTTTGGTAAATTAAATATCAATTCATATAAATATATTGGTAATATATTAAAATAGAATAAAAACTTACTCAAATAATCAACAATTTCAATTAAATTTATCACACCTCGCACTGTCATCCTACTAACTAATCGACGGGAGTATTCACACAAAAATTATGACATAAGTAAAAAATAACCTAAGATAAATCACACCATAACAGCCTTGTAGAGAGAAATTTACGTTAAACTTCCGTACTTGCGACCGGGAGGCCAGAGTGTGGGCTCTGACGAACTGGGAGTAGGCGCTCTTAGAAATGCGTTGGATATGGAGTCGTACAGTCGTTCCCTAAAAGTCTTATATTCAAGATCGCTACTTTGATTGCCAAAGTTAAAATCGGCCACTTCTACTATGAACCTGTCAGTAAAAAATAAAGTGTTAGTTGCAATTATAAAGGTGAGAAGCTAGTTACCTCGAGCGATTTTGTACGTAATACGCGACGCCGAACACAATTAGAACGACAGCAACAAGGCTGGAGGCGACAGGAACTACTATCACTGAAAGCTGAGCTTGCTTGGCCTCTGAAAGCAAAAGGTTAATCCACCGCGTCGTTGTTTTAACAGCAACAACTCGCATCAAGTTGGTAATAGACTCCAAGAAGGTGTGTTAGAATTTACAAACCTAACACTACATTTGGTCCTTCGAGCCGGATAGTTTAGGTACTGCAAAAATTACAGTCCTGACTAAAGAAAATTGTCTTGTAAAAACGAACACTTTTGTATGTAGTTATGAGATCGTTTGTGGACTTTACAAGCCAAATTAATCAAGGAAACAAAAATATTTTCTGTACAACATAATTTAAAGGCAGTTGTTAGTTAAGATCCAAATAGGATTTTTTTTTCTATTTTTCCAAAAACTTCACGACATTATAAGGAAGCATGTGCATCCTACAATAACCAATTGAGACAAAATATTTGCTACAACCCTAATTGATCACAAAAATTACAACCCAGGCTGTAATATGTAAATGTTACAGGTAAGGCCGAGTTTAACAGGTTACACTTTACTTTCAGTTACAGTGTAGCTCATAGGCCCTGTAAACATAATCATCAGGAAAAATGTCAACCCCATTTTACAACCCCTGATATGATTGTGCATTAAAAGTTGTTTTAGACTAAAAAAATGCACCTAATTCATGGATAAACCACCCAACTTGATGCTGGTACAGTGGCATACCTTCGTAAACAGTAACTGTAACAGGAGATACAGTTTTCCCGACGTCATTATAAATCACAATGACAATGGTGTATTTGTGCTGTTTGGGGAAGTAGCGTCTGATCGAAAACATGCACTGATCCGACGAATCAGGAGGCGGCACTTCACATGTCTCGTTCCCCGTAATGTTGTAGACACCTTCGAATATGTGCCTGCAGTAGTGGAACGGCGCAGAGCCCTGGCACTTCACGATGAGATCAAGCACTTTACCTTTCGAAATCCAGTAATTTCCGGTAATGGTGACATTGAAAATTGGGGCTGTAAATCGGGCGATTATTTTTTGTTTGCCGCTGTAATACTACCTTTTGACATGAATTTTCTCGTGAATAATCCGTAGGTTTTACTTTGATCTGGGACTACACTTCCGTTACTCTGACAAACAAAGGGGAATGAAACATTTGATGCACTAGGTACAGGAAGATTAAGGACGGATCGTTTCACCTTTGCCGGTTGAAGAGTTGTGGAAATATTAGTCTGTGCAGGAGCAGGGGTGGTAGGTGGAAGGGTTACATTAGGAGCAGGTGTTGTGGTGGTTGGAGGTGCAGGAGTTGTAATGGGTTCGAAACCGGCAACAACTAATGCTTCAATCTGATGCTTCTTTTCAATATCGGGATATTGAAATGTATAGGTAAAGTTGTTAGTAAACCCGTAATAAACACAGTCCACAAACCAATACGTAAGAATGCTTGTAGCTGTCGAGTTTATATACTCCTCGTCCGACTCCGTCAACACAACCTTATGTACAACTGGTGAAGAATTAGAGACGAATTTTCCGTGACGCACTTTACCATCTTGGATTAGCAACAGCTTCCCATTTAATTGCTCTAAAAAGAAGCACAGTAGGTGCTGATAATTGACAATATTCTACTCTACCGGTAAGTTCAAACATCAAACGTTGTGAGGTCTTCTCAATGTAAAACAATACGTAAAACTTCTCCACGGTAACTTGCACCTCATACGGACCAGGCGGGTATGTGTGATTTGCCGGGTAGGTCACACTCCATCTGTCAACGTTAAAGTCAGACTCGTGCTGCAAGGACTTAATAGCAATAACCGATTATTAAAAACGTTACGTACCACGGCACTGTGTGATAAGATGCTATTATCCCTCCATATGTATTTAAACCTTCCACTGGCAGGCGCGCCGTCTTCATACAACCTTGCGACAAAATGAACCGTGCCCCCACGTACAGTGGGGCTGTCACTGGTTAGTTTAACATGATATGAGGCAAACACTGCAACTAAAAATATAAACAATGCGCCTTAACTAAATGGTGTTTACCTAGCCTTAATTTTACGAAGAAAAGGAATAGGACATTCAACTTTATGTACATTTTATTAACAATGAGCAAAATGTGAGGGTAATCTACTTTCCATTTGCCTTATCTACAGAAGAAATTGAAAATTATCTACAAAAAAATGTAACAAATTTCACTTTTTGACAGTTGTACGTCACATATGAGTCAATCGGTACATTTCGGGAGTGATCGCCAGCAAAGCTATAACTTGTTATAGAAAACGATACTTATACAAGACTCTCAAAATTCATACACATATAGTTCGAATGCTTGGGGGCTGGTATTATTTAGCGTCGAATTCTGGTGATTTGTATGCTGAGAACTATTTCACCGCCCAGGTCACCCTCGATGGTTAAAGAGCGGCTTGGCCTTGGCAGTCTTCAAGTGAGACCACAATAGGGTTGTTAAGACGGCAGGATCCCCCCCAAAGAGTGCTCCCTAAGTTTTCTCCAAAGGAGATGTTTGTAAAGGGGGACGGGGATATATGTGACTTTGGGACTGCGATAACCCTTTTGGATTGGCTCCCTTCCACAGTTGATGTCTGGAGTGAGTTGCCAGTTCGTTATGTGGCCAGAGATGCCAGACTGAGATCAATCAGTGTGACTTCGGGTAGTTACGAACGTGGATCGCTGCCCTGATTGAGAATCTCTAAATGGATTAGCACTTGTCAGGTATTCAAGTAATGCCTTGCCCCTAGGGGTTGACGTTAGTGCTCCGCCCCCATGTAATATGGTGGGCATTTGAGTCACATGCTCACATCAACTCAACAGTTTTAAGAATGGGGCAACATTCCAGAAACTCCGATAGATATTGAGGCGCCATGAAAGATTAGTCATCAGCGATAAAGAACGAAGGCGGATGTGATGCAATCCTTCCGGGGAAAATGGCGCGTTTATTCTAGACTATTCCGAAGCGCTGTGGAACAATCGTTGTTTGCTTGCGTTTTAGTCAGTGTTATAAATTTATTGTTATTTAGTTGAAATAAATACGCCAAGTATTTAAATTTGCGTTACAGTATGAAATAAATGAATTTTTGCAAACACTTCATTTTATGTACATGGGTCATAAGGATCTATTGCCAAGGAGGGAAAGTTTTTTTAAGTCATTCCTTTGGAAATTTATTTTCTGTTTATGTAATGTTAACTTCTTTCTGAAGAGGTTATTTATTGTTAACGGTACCCAAGTAGGAATTTTTTTCGTAGTGGGAGTTAAAGTTATTATGAACAGTTATTTTATTGCTACAATGTAAAAAAAAATTAGAAAGGTTTAGAAAACGTGATCATGGATTTAAAAATTGGAAAAGAGAGTTAAATTTGGAGAGGTTTCACCAAGCTAATCTTAAAGAGGAAGTTTGTAAATAGTAGAGTTGGATTGATTATGATTTTTTTAAATATATTTTGGATTTGTTATTATTTCTTGACCAGGAAATCCTAATAAATGTCTAGTAAAAATGGAAAGTAGCACTTTCTTCATATATTTCTTTGAATAATTGATTTAATTTCATTTCATGCTGGCAGGGAAATTAGTTAAAAAACATTCATTATAAAATTCGCATAAGAAAGTGGAATTTAAGGTAGGTAAAACGACTAAGAAACAACCCCATGAAATAGTGAAACCTGTTCAACATCCTTACATTTATAGGTTTCGTATATCAAAACGTAACATCAAATTTGAAAGCAAATGAAACCCAATTTCAATTAATAAAGAAGTGAATTTAAGTTTTCCTCTTTAATACCAATAGGTGCGTTAATGAGGCTCATTAACAAACCGATAACAATTGCGTTACTTAAAGAGTTCGATTTAATATCGAAATAGAAAACAATTAATTATTTGCTTACAATATCCACAATCCAACGAAATTAACACAATTATTGCAGTCGCATGAATGTTACATACTAACATAAAGCCATGGCGTTCGGGTTAATCGATCATTCTATACTTTATGGGTCAATTCTTCTTAGTTTAGGGATAGGAATGTATTTTGGTTTTTGCAAAAAATCTGTTTCCACTGATGCTTACCTTTGGGCTGCCTTTGCCATGGAATTTTCTAAAACAAAAAGATATCCAGTTATCAATTAGCATCACTTCGACATGGATTTTATGATCGACTTGGTTACTGTATTGCAGTTAATGGTGACTTATTCGAACATGTATTGTAAATTGTTATATTAGGTAACCGTTTTTAGTAATTTGGTCTTTCTTTATGTTGAATTCGCTGTTCTAAATATAATACTTTCTGATAGAATTTGATTTATTTTATAGCAGACATTCCATGGCATGACGGATATTGGCGTAGTTTTGTATTATAAAATTCCATGGCATCACAGATTATTGAAAAAGATGGGGGTTTTATTTTTCCAATTTTCCGCCTTTATTATACAAAAAATTGAAAACTAATACAGGTGATTGACGTAAACAATTTTTTTCTACAAAAAACCTTAATACTTTTTGGCTCTAAAATAATTTGGGGAGCAAATAATCGCATGACCTTCTGCAGAGGCACCTCTAAATAGCATTGTGCGGGTCACTCTGTAATTGGGCGCATGCCTGTTGAGGGCCCAAAACAAGAGAGGTATAATAAAATAAAATAAAATAAAATGATATGAATTTTACATTGAAATCCCTATGATGCGTTACGCAAGTCACCACCCTGTATATAATAAAAATTAAATTACATGCTCAAAATAGCTTCTATGGTTAGCGAAGTAGTGATCTTTCATAAAAATGATTCCTAACATTTTGCACCTGAGTAATAACAATAATAATAATAATAATTTATTGTCCAAACAGACTATCTAGTCTAAATACAGGACAAACTTAAATATTGTTCAATAAAAGCCGCACAGAAATTAAAAAAATTACCAAAAATTGAACAAAAATTATTATAATGATAGATTAATAACTAAAGCGAAAGAAAATTGTTAACAGAGCTATACAATAAACAAAATAAAGTCATAAATCAAAATACAATATTAGTAAATTAAAGAAATTGTATTAGTGCAATGGCAAAAGCAAAAAAAAAGACAAAAATTACTGGATCATACTTATAAGGAATTTTAAATTAGTGTTAAAAATATCAACAGTATCGCATACCGAGTTATAATTATGACACATTGGATAAATTTGGGAATTTTGTAAGAGATTTGTTCTGCAATAGGGTAATTTGAAAGTTAAGAAATGCCTGGAGGAAGAACGAGGCACAGAGAAATTTAAATAATTGTGTAATGTGACACAATCAATTTCATTTCATAATTATTTGTACAAGAACGACACACTTATTGTTTTACGTCTGCTACTCGACGGTAAAAGATTGAATCTTTCTAGCAGCTAGATATTTTAAAAGAGGACGTTGTATACGTTCTAGGTATTTTTCGTGTTTTTTTAAATGCTGGATTCCATACTAGTACACCATATTCAAGCTTGCTTCGTACAAATGTAGAAAAAAGTAGTATAATAGTTGACAAACTTGCAAAATCTGATCCAATGCGTATAATAAAAAAACCTAAGGTTTTAAAAGATTGCCTAACAATTGTATCAATGTGTAAGCTAAATGTTAGCATGTTATTGAACAGAACCCCTAAGTCTTTTGTTTCAGTGTCTCTTTTTAAGGGTGTATTTTGAATTTTCTTTCGAAATTGGTTTCTAGTCCATAACCTTTGATTGAGAAGTCTGATCGAAAAAGTACGAATTGATTTGGATCCTGCGCACCAAAATTAATAATAAAAAGTGTTTTCCCGAGAAATTTTGGTGCGGTCGATTTTTGGTAAAAAAGGAAGGTTATACACTGCCTTTTTTTGAGCTCCGAAAAAAAAAATGTTCCAGATCGACCCGGAAAAAAAAGTTCTTATAGAATGTGGCCTGTAGAATCCATAATTTCAAACAGTTCCAAGATTGGGCTACTAGTTCAAAAGTTACAGCCCTTTGAATTTTTTTTTGAAATTGGTTTCTAGTCTATAACTTTTGATTGAGAAGTCTGATCGAAAAAGTACGAATTGATTTGGATTCTACGCACCCAAATTAATAAGAAAAAGTGTTTTCCCGAGAATTTTGGTGTAGTCGATTTTTGGTAAAAAAGGAAGGTTATACACTGCTAGGGAATGCAATCCCGCAGCAAAATCTCAATCCCGGTATTTGCGGGATCCCGCAAAACTTCTGTATTAAAATAAATCGCTAATTATCACAATGTTTAACAAAAAAAGTACCTTCAGCCTAACTTAGAACTCAAAAAAACACCATCTGTAATGTAAAGCACAAAAAGGTTAGAAGAGTGCCTCAAAAATCATAGTACATTTTTAACGAAAAAATTATTTAAAACGAAACAATTATTTAAAAAATAACTTCTCCGTTATGCGTTTCATTAACAAAGTAAAATAATCCCGCAAAAATGCTGCGAGATCCCGGTATTTCGGGATCCCGTGATCCCGGTATTGCATTCCCTAAACCTGGCAGACGATATTAAGTGTAGCTTTAATAGTGGCAGACGTGTTAGAAGTTACAAAATTTAGGTAGTATAGTAAATCCCAGCGAGTGCGAGCGTGTGAGAGATAAGTGCGAGTAAGTCTAAAACCGAAGAAAATACACCTTTTTAGTAGGTATAGTTAATGTGTTCCATGAATTATGTTCTATACTTCATTGTTGGCCAATAAAAAGAAGTGCTGTTAAGAAATTTTTGCAGCACTAGTGTTGTTAAATGTGCCTTAACATAACCCGTCGCTAAGCTACAGTAAAGGGACCGAAGAGCTGACTGATCTGATATTTGCTTACAGTTGCGCATCAGGAATCCCAAAGTTTGATTAGCTGATCGACACACTACTTTTATATGCTCATTAAATGTGAATTTGCTATCAAATGTTACGCCTAGATCTTTTATTGATGACGTACGGAGTAGATTGACACCTCTGACAGTGTAATTGAACAGGATTGGGCTCATTTTACGCGTGTATGATATTATTTTACACTTAGAGATGTTCAGTGATAATGAATTAGCATTGCATCAATTACTTAAGCTATTTAAGTTATTCTGAAGTTGTAAACATTCTTCGCTAGTCGATATAACGGAGTAAATTTGATCTTGTATTGTGTATCTAGTGAACAAACCGACTTTTATAATTCACCTGTTTTTCGCGGAATAGTGGGATCGTTATTTTTATTTAGTATGCCAATTGAATTTTTCTTTCATTATTTAGGTATTGTGGTGTACGTTACATAAGAGCACTGAATCAATAGGTGACCTTTAATTGGATTAGGTATTATTCGGTTGGTCGGCGAATATAGGTATACATCATAACTATTAAATAAGCGCACATCAACCCATGAAGTGCACTCACTGGATCATGGTTACAGGCTGAATGTGTAATGGACATCATTGGAGAATTAGGTCAAAATCCAACTCATTATTGAGGAAGCTAGCTAGTAGGTATCCCAAAAAAAGGAATTAAATTATAAGTAATTTTATTAATAAACACGAGGAGGGTTGCGTGCTTTTAATGTAGCAGCCGAAAGAACGGTAGTTTATTTTGTTTAAACTAAGACGGGCCTGATGCGCTTTCTCGATCTTGTTAAACCAACCCTATGATATGAGGGTTTTGCGAATCGGATGATTTAAATTCCAATATTGCTAGAATGTTCTTATGAAATTCCAAAAATTGAAAATATGTTTTCATAAAATAAAACCCTTCAACGAAGTAATCGCATTTTTTAAACCGAGAGTGTAAATAGCGTAGCGTACGCGCGCGTAATTTACACCCTACATTATACGATACCAATACTAATTTAACAATTTTTATTACAAACTGGCCTTCGATGCCGGAGGCGGCTCCGCTTCATATAACCCAAAATAAGCGCGGCAATTATTTACAAGATACGCCATCTAAGTGAAATCCGCTAAGATTCAACAATTTATTTCTAATTAAAGCACTAAAACGTAAGGCTCCTTTAACAAAATTAGTAATTTTTCCAACAAACAAGTTATAAATTCAAAAATAACAAAGTGATAACCGTAGCAATGAGATGCTTAATTCTTTTTGGATGAAAATTAAATTATGTTTGCTAAAATTAAATACGGAAACGCTGTTTTTGTACCGCTCCAACGTAGAAAGTAAAATTAATATCCATGAAGTGGCATCATCAGATTATTCTTGAAAATAATTTTTGAGACAACAAATAATTACTAAAATTTGTTAGCTTTTTGTTACCACCGAGCCTGCTACGCATACTTAATAATATCGGACAGTCGTGCGCGTCGGTGCCGTCGTACCTATATGCGGCGTAAAGAGCGTCGCTCAGTCCACCGCCAACTTTCTATCTGTTGGAACGTTGAACACTTGCGAAAGATCGTAGACGCGCGGGTTTTTTGCAAAAAACATTTTACATATTATGCAATGTCAAAAACTCGATGGGCGAGTTTTCAATTTGATTAAATTTCAGGTGCAAGCCCAGTTTTCGACCGAATTAATTATTATAATACTTTCAAAACGGTGTTTGTGAATATACGTCTTCGGAACAATTACCTTTCTTTTGGAACAGGAGCTTTTATTCTTACACTTTCGGTAAGAATGTGTATGTTCACTAGCGCCTAAAATCCAACTTTTCAAATCAGATCACACAGATGCGTGCGTGTTCAATTTAGATTTACATTATTTCTGTAGATCCCTTGAGGTTAATGTTAATTATGAACGTTAATTTATATTTACAGAGGTAGAATATCTAACCACGACAGTCGCATAAATAGCGAATTTCATTTCGCCGCAAATGTGCAAATTCTCTCCTCCACGCCACCTTTCTTATTTTCTGTTTATATAAACTGCTTCCAAATGATAAGCTTTCTTTTTACATTCGGGAAGGTAAGTTTTACTGGGCTTCCCATTGCGGGAAACGAGGATTTTGGAAAAGTTTTTGTTAACATTTCCCAGTTGTTTACGCTCGGTAAATATTGACTAACCTCAATTTAACACATTAAGAAATTTGGGTAAAGTATCAAAGTTTCATTATAATTAATGAGACTTTAACATGCGGAATTTAAAAATTTCATATTCATTACGGCGGAAAAACTTTTTAGGGGTGCCGTTAGGAACGTGTTTTTATTCATAATGGTTCCGAAAAGAGTTGCATCGATTTAATGTCAACAGGTCTAAATAGTTTCTTGGACTCTGTCTTAATGCAAAATGAAACAATTCCGTCTACAAGTTTCGGACACAAAAAGAGATAATCCCTAGGGATTTTCTTGTAGCATTGTCGACACCTCAAAAGCAGTTTTAGTATGAATTATGCAGCAGTATTTCCTCGAGTGCTGAAGCTACAAATAATGCTACAAAATAGAGGTTACATCGCAAACTACGAGTGCAATTAATGTCGTATTAAATTAATTTTGTAAACGCGTTTTGCCTAAACGATTCATGCTACTTTTGTATAGGGTATTGAATAACTGAGAGAAGCGAGATTTTTTCTAATGGCACTTCTTCTCTAATGATCAGTTAGGCGGCTAAGTTTGTACTTATGTCCAATTTTAGATCTGATTAACAAGGTAAGGTAAATAAACACCCTGGAGCTGTTACTTTTCCTGGATAATTTCTAATTAGACGCCGAGAGAAATTCACGGTTGCCTGATTCGTTTCTTCGCATTTCCGCGTAGGTGGTATTGTTAACATCGGAGAGTGTGCCAATTTTATGTTATTCAACCGCTCTTACGGAAATTTTATTATCTCTCTAATTGAAGACGGCGCGGCGTCTAAGCTAAAATGCGGGAGGTCTACGGGAAAAGTGATTCAATAGGCCTCATTTAAACTTTAAAATAAAAAATTACATCCATCCACTGTGAAATTCTGCTTGGCAGAGATGACACCTTTTGCAACAACGTATGAGTAGTTATTTATCACCAAACGTAGAAAAACAGCTGTCCATTGCAAGACAGATAACAACAATATTTCTAATAATCCTATCCAATGAAATGTAGTATTACAAAATCTTTAAGTGATTAGGATGACGAGGAACGCAAAATGTACTCAGTGACATGATATACAGAGAGAATATTTTAAAAGAATTACTGTGTGTAATGGTACGCGGTCAAAATACCACCCAACAGACACCTACCTAGCTAGCTCAGCTTACCATTATTGCCTTCTCCTTTCTCAAAACAACAATGACATACGCTTTTTCAATCGATCCGCAGAACAGCCTCATTTATTTCCAATTCTTCGTATTTAAAGCTCCAGTGATCAGTACGATATTCGTCACCCATTTTGATAAACACCTGCATTCGTTATCTTGCACGTGGCATTGTTAGTAAACAATTAATTTGCCTGATAACGCCTTTTTACAAAAACATCTGACCAGATTTTTTACGTCGAAATTACGATTAAATGACTTAAGCAATTACTAAATTATTTGGTGACTCATGGAAGTGCATGTGCTTTTAAAGACTCTGGTAAGGGTTACGAAGGGCACCGAATATGTTTTAAAGACACTTAAAGGCTATCAAAAAATTAGCAAGAACACTCCAAAAGGTCATCTAACGACTCCTGGCCGGTTGAAAAAAACCTGGAAAGATCTTAGCTAAATAATCAAAACAATATGCCTGCTCTAAGACTGTTGAATCCTCTCAGACTGTCATAATTTCCTATGTCAAATGTCATTTTAATGCGTTTGCCGAGGCGTTTGCTCACTGATAATTAACAATTTAAATTCTGGTGGAACTTGATGAGATGGGTACAGGGTAAAAGGAGGAAAATCCAGGTGTGCGTTTTTCGACAGCTGAAGGGGTGAAACCGATCGAGATTCATCGCAGAATGGCTGGTGACAACAGTTTCAGCTATATTACAGTCACAATGTGGTCGGCATGTTTCTGGGATGAAATGCTCGACCAGAACAATCCAATGTGAAGATTGCGGAGTACACTACTTACATGGATGAGGCTGTAAAGGAAAACAGACATATTACAGAGGACGAGTTTGCCTGGACTAATGCAGAAACAATTGAAAGTTCACCGTTTCATATCGGACGCAGAGGTGCAGGAAGAGGTCAGTAAGTGGATCACCTCACCCTCATGGGAATTCTGGGAGCAAGACGAGGCAATGGAATTAAGGCACATTTATAGCAAACGGTTATGAAAACTTTCATCAAAATAGTTCACATGTTCTATCAGAGCCGTGGAGGCCAATATGCTATTCCATACACAATCCTATCGTGTATATTTTATGAATCAATTATAAAATGGCCATCATTACTTGAAAACCTGTTTCCTACTAAAATTACTTTTTGAGTGCATTTTAGGACACCGTTTATACTATATTTCCATAAAACTCTTCAGTACTATAACTATTGTATTTCATACCTACTATTTTTTATAGTCGTTCACGGCGAATTCGTATCGCCTATTAGTCAGAGCTAAAAAATAATAGTCGGCAGCAACCGGGGTCTGTCGGCGGAACGAAAAGACGGCGGACGGGCGGACTCGGGTGCTACCAAGTGTACGGTCTCGCGCCTGGTCGAGGTCGGTGATAGTAACGGTCTGGCGGGCCGGTCTCGGAAGCCTTGGGTGTAAACTCAACCGGAGAAGATGCGAAGATGAAAAAGTAAAGATACTATTTCATAGCGTAAATGTTTTTAATTATTTATGCCTTGCTCGACATCGGAAAAATATGGAACCTATGTTAAACTTCAAGTTTTTTAAGATCGCACCTAACGGATGTAATCTCGACTTCATCGGCGGTTGTTATCTGTAGCCCATTTACCTTACTACGGTTAATTATACTTATCTAAATAGTCGGAACGAAATCTCCAAATTCGGCAGTCCAGCAATGTCCTTTTGTTCCTTGGAATGTGAGGTCAAGGGGCGCAATCGTTTATCACTTTGATATTTTCCTTAAACTGCACGACCTTGCCGGTGTCAATCCTGCATTTTTGTGTACCATTAGCAAACTAAAATTAGTAATTAACGAACTAAAGCTTAACTACATTGATTCTCTCTCTTCTTCCCTGGCAAGAGAGTTTTCGGCCGCTGTAAAACAATTTAAATATTCTTACAGGAACGGTTGCAAAAAGGAGCGACAAACACATTAAACAAAATGAAAACACACAACGCTCACTCTTCGTCTCCTAGAGCAAATAATTTAGAAACTACTTAGTAATGAAGCGCCCAAATTAAAAGGCTTCTAGATACCGGGTGTTTGGCAAAGCCGGTCGACGCCACAAATATACGGTGTGGTCATAACTTCGGGTAAGAACTTCAATAAGAACTTCGTTACAAGAGGAAGGTGACAAGGGGTGCAATCCGGTTTTTTTTAAAATGAGCGATACTACACTGACAATTAGGTATGTAATTCTTTATTGGGCGTGGATTATTATTCTGCTGCAAGTACAAATGTTGGGAACGATATACCTATTGTTTGTTAGTGTAATACCGTCAAAAACACCAGACGTTTTATGACACCTCGTAAAAAATAATAGCCCTGCAGTAAATGAAAGGGGCACGCTTAAGTTCGTAAATTAAATTTTTAGCTTAGAATCATTTTAACTAGTAACTATATCAATTCGAACCATTACGTTATTATTTGTGTCATCTAACCCACCTGTGTCGACTGATTACCTAAAACATCAGTATCATTTAGCATATGAAGAAACGGGAATTTCAATAAGTACCATTTATTTCCTTACTTATTCTCTAATTTCGCCTCTTAGATCGTTATGTTACTTTATTCTGTATAATTATAAATAAAAATAGCGTAAGATTACAATAAAGACCGTAAATTACTATCGCATGCACTAAAAATCTAAGATTAGTTATTCCATCTGAGCTTTAAAAACCATTCCAGGTTTCCTTTTCACACCTGAATCCACAATATAGCAGTGCTCAATTACATTAATACTCATTACTGGGTCTTCAGCACTTACATTTTGTAACAATTAGTAAGTGGTATCTACGTGATATTTGCTTAAATCTTCTAAATCATGTATAGGAATAGGATTAATCATATATGCAAATTCCGTATAAAGTGGCATTTTTCGAAACTGATTTCGGTATAATTACCACAGTCGAACAATTAGTAAACGCGTTGGATGAAAACCTTTTGTGTTTGAGTTACGAATCTGCCATTTCATAACCGGTTACGTAAATATCTAATTACGCACTTGATTATTTGTAGAGCTTTCCAAATTGAGAAAATAGATTTGTTTCTCCTTTACTTTAATTCCATTTAGAATATATACTTTTTCAATTTCAGGCTTACCTACATTCGTGCTACAACTATTTGCCTTTGTCAGTCTTTCGTGCGTTTCATCCCTCCGGCAGTTTTCCCGAAAAGGTAAGTTGTAAACTTTTAAAGATCTATAAATGTCTGGAGTAGTTTTTTTTGCGACCACCATATTCTATTTAGAATTACATTAATTCAAATTTACGAGCACGAACGGTTCCTACCATTTACATAACCTTATATTAGTAAAGTTCCCTTTTTGGTATTGATACTCAAATTGATTTATGGCGGTAATAAAAGAGTTACTATTTTTTCTATGGCCCTAACATGTACGCAATTTTATATGAGTACGTAATTTCGTACTTGTCCTCTGCTACGTTTTAAAGGAGAGAAACGGTTACGGTTATTTCTTTGCTCAATTTCGAAATGGGGAACTAACTTGTTTTCTTTATATATCGATTTGAATATAAAAACCTGGAAGGGAAAAGGCACAATGTGTTCAAAATTTGAAATACTATTTAAACTCCCGATTTAAGAAACATTGGTAAACTTTGCAGGGGTTTCGTATTTTGGATAATCCCATAACGCCTGTAACATTACAGCTTACAGATGTAACTAAATATATCAAAATCGGATTGGGCGGTAAGGGTCCAAAATCTATTATTTGGGACGCCAAACGTTCCAAAATTTGCGCGTCTTCATTTTTGTCTCTGTAACTTCCTCTACATACATCCAAACCTCATTTTCTAACTTTTCTTCCTTATTAAAATTCATGGGTCATCGAAGGAAACTAAACCCCCGTGTTTACTTATCGGCGAAACATGCTTATCTTCAAACTTAATTAGCTTTACGTAGCGTTAACAGAACTCTTATCGCAATAACCGGAGATAACAATTAAAATGAGACACATGAACATTATCTTTTTGCACGCAATTCCCCGGCCAGGGATAGGTTACATTGCACTTGTACGGTCAGATTTTATGCTTTCAAAACTGTTTCCGGTATTTTTAATATCGCTGACACGTAAAAATAGGTGACTCATTGCATTTAAATTGCCACATTGTATAAAGGGATTTTAACTAAACAATTGTCAGAATGTCCAATTTTTCCATTATAGATAGATATCAAAAGAGCAAAAAACGTAAATTTTTCGCACTTTTGGCGGTGTACCCTCTCCAGAAATCGATAGAATTCACCCTTATTGATTGTCAGTTCTTATCTAATATGTGGTGCAATATTAAAAAAAGGCCTAATTAAGTTACTACCCCAGTTTACAAAGTACTTAAAAATGGTATATTTTAATTTATATCCATATATGTAACATCAAGACACACTTTTATGTAAATTATACTCGAAATACTAAAATGATGAAGCACTTACAACAAACAAACAGAGAAAGGTCGCGCAAAAGTAAATAAATATGCAATGTTGTAAATAGGTCTTTAGCAAATATTTCAATTTAATGTTCTCGTTTTCCTCGCGAGCAGCTTTTGGAGTAAAGAAGTTTTGTTTTATTGCCGTATTTAAAAGCTTAAACGTTTAAAATTTACTAAGAGAGAATTACCTTAAAATTTTCCTAATTTAATTAAATAAATAATGTTTGAGAGTTTTTAACTTTTTTATAAGAGGCTAGAGGGAGGAAAATAAAAGTTCCCGAAGCGAGTTTGACAATTTTTCGTCACGAGTCTCCTATTACACAAATGGCATTCGTGTATGTGACACTCCCCATAACTTTTCTCACATTTAAAACGCAACGAATGGAAATATGGAAATGTTTGGTCGAATTGAGTTTCGCATTCTTCTCCCTTATACAATTGCATTGAAATATATGATGCTCATTTTCCTTTTTAAATTTGGGTCAACACGTTCTAATCGCCGACATCTCTTTAAGTTTTAAATTACGTAGTACGCCCCGTGTTTATAGCAGTCCCTGCAATTATAACTTTTTAACGACAAGTGGGCACATTAGTAGGTAAATTACTTGTCGTTACTATAAATATCATGAGAAGTCGTTACGTATTTAGGGTAATATCGTGAGACGTGAATTCGCTGCATGTTTAATATACCCCCTAATACCGATATACTTTGAAACTGCTGGCACATACAAATGACGAAGTTGAATCTGTTTTGGGATTAGCTCCCAACCCTTTATCAGCCTTTCCATGAATACGTAATTAGATGGCTACTAAGGACGACAAATTATATTTCGATGTTACTCCTAGACAATAGCTATTACATTAACTCTACGCTCGTAGCGCGCTAAGCCTTCCAACGTATAAGACATCATTTGTGTTCCATTTCACAACCTTAAAATACAAACCATCTTTAATCGCGATATAAATCCACATTATTGGGCAATTATCTAATATTTGTGTGCTTCATTCGGTTTGAAAATTTACAACGCAATCGAAATTAGCAATTCCCTCCAGTTCAGGTGTGTAAAGTGTAAACTGTACACTTTTCCAGATATTAATCAGACAAACATGTTATCGGTATCAGTGGTTGAATGTGACCAATGGAAATAATAGTGGGAAGTTTTTTTTTTGATTGCCTACAGATGAGCTAAATTAGGAACGAAAGGAATTACGATGGAGGGACCTCACATTTACACTATTTAATACCAATTTAAAATCTCTTTGTCATTTCAGTGTTACAAGGGAAGGTTTTATGCCATGTGTCTCAGATCCTTTGTGTCCTCAGTTTCAGATTATGTCAAGTACAGTCACAAATACGTTTACAGTTTGTTCTTAAAATATGTATCAAGTAATTAAGTTTACTTGTTGAAGAATCGGTAATGATGTACTTGTGAAATAATAAACACACGAAGTGGATCAAGTATTCACTGAGTGTTCTATAATGATACAAGCTGAATACACATAGGTGTAAGTAGGTAATAATAGGTCATAAACGAGGCGGATTAATAGAGTGGAGGCGCGAATCGCTTAAATAAGTGGAGCAAGTTAAAAACGCGGCTGTCCACAACTGCACAACTAGCCTCCGATTACATCATGACGTTGAAAGATGACCGTGTCTGATTCTGTGTGTGGCTGGCCTTATATTGCACACAATAATCAGATATTGTATGAGCACTAAGATTCCTAGATGATTAACCCAGTAGGATATTGTTACGTTTTAATTATCATTCTTATTGCTAAAGGAGGTTAACTATCACCCGACAAGCCGCTGTGTCGCACTGTTCTGCGTCTTCGTTATAGTAATCAACGCAAGGAGGTGCGCAGAGCCACGACCCAGGCGTGTTAATAAAAATGATTATAAAATACTATTAATGTTGTATTGAAGCCAAATATAATAATATGTATTAAGCAGTCTCCGCTCTTATTTTGTCTCATTACAGAATTCTGCCTCGGCTATTCGAACCACCACTTCAAGCCCCCAATCTTCTGAATACCTAGTATCCAGAGAAAATTGTGAGCGTTATATTAGGAGTACAATGGGTAGAATTGGTGACATCTACCGGTACTTATTATCACAAAACGCCGACTAACCGTGGACTATCTTCGCCACTCAATTTTAAAAGTGAGTCATACCCAAGTATGCGTATGGGTCATACTATAATTGTCAATCTGTCAGTTAAATATAGGTATACAAAGAAATAGTTACATAAAAGTCAGGAAAATGACACACTATTGGCAAGGATATATTGAAGTACGAGGCCCTTTTTTGTATTACATTTTCGCCGAGATCGTCTTTTTTTATAAATTCAATTCTCCTATCAATGAGAAAAACATACTTTGAGTTAAAGCAGAACATTGTGTTTTATTCGCCGCGGTATTTTTCGACCTCTTCAGCTGTACATGCAAATTTTGAGTAATTGAATAAAGTAATGAGATTTTTTTCTCGTTGTTACAAACAAAAGCAAGTAATAAAATCGCCGCACTTCCGATTGGTGTTTGTTTCATAATTTCCATTTGTTTTAACAGAGTATAATATCAAAATTTCATAAAAATCCATTTCATAGTATGTCTACTAGATTTACTTCTATAAAAAGGGTCTGTAGTTACAATATCGTTAATTGACAATCTTCTTTCAATTCGCGCACCCTACGTATGACACCCGTTAAATAAAAGAACCGCAGCCTTCTACGAGATCCGAGTGCTGAGATCTCAAACCCACAGATGCACGGGCCAACGGACGGAATTCACTGAAGTTGTATTTCCTAAACAATACGCTAACAGTTTTCCTTTTGTCCACATCCGGGGATGTATATTACAAAACGCCACAGTGTTGCGTTTACATTTGGAGTGTTTATTGCTATAAATACAAGTTTATTAACCAAATGTGTGGGCTTATCTTGTTTATACGGGGCGATAATAAGGTTCCAATTAATCGACAATCAGTAAAAAGTTTAAGGACGATTAATTAGTACTTTTGCTAGGTGTTAAAACTGTTAAGTGGACAAGGGAAATTGACATTTCCATACTGCGGAAAATTGGTAAATTATTCCATTGAATAAATAAAATTTCAATTACTAAATTTTGAGAAACCTGAAGCCCAGTTTGTCCCTGATTGGAGTCGTCAACCCTTTTTCAAGTTCACCTTCAACCAGCAGTCAAATTTTCCGGGCGGTACAAAACGTTCAATTGTATTGCACAAGGCGTTCCACCATCTAATTTTCCGAATTGCTGCTACCTTTCAAAAGGAGATAATCGACTGTAAATTGGAGGGAAGTCAATTTAACAATCCTGAAGAGGTTGACCCACGAAAGTTAATTCCGTGAACCGATTTGGATATTTTTTATGAATGATAAGCGAACCCAAACAAAAGATTTTGGTGATTTTTTCTCACTAATTGTGAAGTGGAATTTGAAGTTTATTGATTCCATTCTTTTGTGTGGATTTAATTTTATTTACCCTTCAGGGGTGTGTAATGGCCAATGGCACCGTCAAAATTAAGTATTGCCATAGCAACCATCGTCTTAATAATTGTTACCATATATTTTAAGTTCGAAGCGAGGCTTAGTATTGATGGTGCCATTGATCTTTTCAATGAGAAAATGTATCAGGGGTTGTATTAATTCCAAATATCAAAAAAGATAGTTAGATAATTAATTAAATTGCAACGTGATCAAGAGATATTAATTCAAACTTTAT